GTGGGCTACCGCCCCGTGGTCTTGGTGGCCTGCGGCTCCTTCAACCCACCCACAATCGCCCACCTCCGCATGATGGAGCTGGCCCGCGACGCCATGACTGCGCAGGGGTACGATGTGCTGGGAGGCTATTTGTCCCCGGTCTCCGACGCGTACTGGAAGGAGGGCCTGGCGCCCGCCGCCCACCGCGTCGCCATGGCCCAGGCCGCCGCCGCCTCCTCCGGTGGGTGGATGAGTGGGCTTTGGATCTGCTTGTTTGGTGATCTTGGGCCTCAGGACTGTGGGTGTGTTGGGATCCAAAGGGGCCCAGGCGGCGCCAAGAGACAGATGCTAGGGTGGATGCAGGAGGAGCCTCACCGAGCCACCTGCCACTCGCCCTGATCGCTCGCTCGCCGTGAGCACCCACATTCTCCCCACCCATTTCATACCATCCCCTTGTCTCTGTGAGCTAGACTTTGTGATGGTGGACGCATGGGAGGCGGCGCAGCCCCACTACACCCGCACCCTGGTGGAGCTGCAGCGGGTGCAGGCGGAACTGGGCCGCGCTTTCTCGACAGAGGAGCGCGGCGGCGCGGGGGTGCTGGCCAGCTCCGCCGGCCCCGCGCCCAGCCCGCGCGCGGTGCTGGTCTGCGGCGCGGACGTGCTGGAGACCATGGCGGACCCCTCACTCTGGCGCCAGGACCTGCTGGACGCGCTGCTGAGTCAGCACGGCGTGGTCTGCGTGACGCGCGGCGGCGCGCGGGCGCTCTCCCTGCTGGAGACCCCAGGCACGCTCCTGCACCAGCACGCAGGGCGCGTGTCCATCGTGCAGGAGCCCGTGCCCACCGACATCAGCTCCTCCCTGGTCAGCGGGCTTGGGATGTTGTTGGTTGGTGGGAGCGTATGAAGGGGGGCCCAGGAGGTTGAAGTGGGCGGGAACATGCTTTGTGCCTGGGGCGTTTGCAAGGGCCATGATCGTCAGACACACTCTCAGGCCTACCAAGATACCATGCAGCTGAGCATGCCCCACCGGCGACACTCCCTCCTCCTCGATCCCAGGTGCGCAAGGAGCTGGAGCAAGGCAGGAGCGTGCGGTACCTGGTGCCGGACGATGCCCTGACCCACATCTACAGTCACGGCCTGTATGGCTCGCTGCAGCAGCCCGCCCGGGAGGGCACCCAGCTCCATGCCCAACAACATGCATGATCCCGCGGTGCACGGCACACGAGTCAATCTTTACCTGTGATATATGCGTTTGTACCGTGCCCTTTTGTCTGTGCTGGAAATGCAGAAGCGCCTGGGAAGGGAATCAGATGTAGATCACGCTGCACATGTCCAAGAGCCCGAGACTCCTTGGGAGATGGCACACCGATGCCCGTGAGCGCAGCCGTGATTGGAAAGCAAGGCATGCCTTACCACCCTCGCGCGCCTCCTCCCGTGTACTCCCCGTGCAGGCACCCCCAGCGAGCCCTCTTTCCCGTGCCGGCAGCCCACATCGACAGGTGCGTGGGGCGCGGACAACCAGCGAGAGGAGTCTGGATTCCCCGACACCAGGAAAGGGTGCCATCGCCGCCCCACCTCCCTCCCGCAGGTCACTCGACGAGCCCGACATCATGTCGTCCTCTCTGGTCTGGGAGCTGGTGAAGAAGAACAATGCCTTTCTGAAGAAGAACATCAACGGCATTGTGGTCTCCACCGAACCCGGGAACCTGTGAGTGGCACTGTCGGGCGCCCCAGGGAACGGGGTGACTCAATCCCTCCCGTGGGATCTGGAGCGGTAAGGCAGGCACCAGAGCATGCTCATAGTGTCTTCACGTCGTTCCTCATCGCAGGATGAACAAGCACAGCTACAAGTACTCCGGCCTGGCCAACTTTGGCAAGACCATGGACGTGTCTGCCGACGAGTCTGGTCTGCTGATCAGCACCAGCAGCAAGAAGAGGGCCGGCAACCTCCGGTCCTTTGCTGTCAAGTCCCACGCCCGCAAGGCCACCAAGTCTGCGGTCGCCACCGCCGGCGCCATCCGCCCCGACCTCAAGGTGAATGGCGGGTCTCGCCTGGCTGGGCTTTGATTGCACTGCCTCCTCCCCTCGTTCTCACAGCTTTCGCACTCCTGACAAACCACCATCCAATCCACCCCAATGTTCACCCACAGGACGCTGCACGCGCCAAGGCCTCCGCCCTGGCCTGGTCTCTGCGAGTGAAGAAGGCCGCCGCCAAGACCTCTGCCTGAGCGGATGCGTCGGTGCAGCCTCTGCACGGGTGCAGCAACCATGTAACTACCCCTCATGACTTTTGACAAACTATCAGATTCCCATTGGGTGTGGATGAGGGTGGCAGGGGCTTAGGGGTGTTAGTGAGGACAGCAGCCTACCTTGCATGTTTCCAAGCGTCGGAGCATGTCAAGGTGGATCTTGTGCATTCCTCCCAAATTGGCGAGGCACTTGCCATCAAGAGAAGTAGGGAGTCAATCTCATCATCTCACTGTCCCATCCCTGAACAGCGATTCCCCCCCACATTCAACATCTGAGTAAGCGGTTACATGAATCATTCGCGCCGGGCACGGCTCGCGCCCGGCACATTCTCACACTCGTGACGCTACACTTGGGAATGGGGCAGTCATGGGCACGGGTGGAATGCAAGGTAAGGAGCACTTCCCTCACAGCTCCTGCTTCGTCTTCTCGAACACCTCATCCACCTTCTGGTGCGCCTGGACACGCGCCTTTTCCGCCTCGCTGGGCCCCACTGACTTCTTCAGGGAGGTCCAGCCGTCGCTGGCGCGGCACTTGGTGTCGTCCCAGGAGCAGGCGATGCTGTCGGTCAGGTTGTCCCACCAGGAATGGCCCGGGGCGCGCGCATTCCACGCCTTCTCGGCGGCAGCCTTGGCCTGCTCCCAAGTCTCGCCGCTGGCGGACTTGGTCTCCTCCCAGCGCCGTTTGGCGGCAGTCTCGACGTCAGCCCAAGGGTGCCCGCGACGTGCGGAGCCGGTGACCCAGTTTTGCCAGGCCTCCTTCCCCGCCTCCTCCCAGGACTTCTTCTTGTGGCCCCAGAAGCCGCCGGAGTAGTAGGACTTGGCCGCCTTCTCGGCCTCATCCCAGCTCTGCCCCGCCGAGTTCTTGGCCTCGTTCCAGTTCTCCCAGGCCGCATCGGCAAACTCCTGGTACCCGTCCTTGCTCTTGCCCTTGGTCTCCGCCCAGTAGGCGTCCGCCGCCTTCTGCGCGTCGGCCCAGGTGCCGCCGGCATAAGCCTTGGCATTGTACCAGTTGCGCCAGGTCTTGGCCGACGCATCCTCCCAGCTCTCCCCGGTCTTGGCCTTGGTGGTCTCCCACGCGCTCTGGGCCTTGGCCTTGGCCTCCTCCCAGCTGGAGCGGGAGGTGTCCTGCAGCACGCCAAAGGTGCGCTGCGCGGTGGCCTTGGCCTCGTCCCAGGGCTGCTGGGTGGCCTCCTTGGAGCCCCACCAGCTCCGGAATGCGTTCTTCAGCCACACTGAGCTGGCCGCCTTCTTGGGCTCGGGGAAGTAGCCGGAGAGCCAGCTGCTGGAGCGCACGTCGCGCCAGGAGTCGGCCGCCGCGCGGCTGGCCTCGTCCCAGGTCTGCCCCGTCTCGTGCTTGGTGCGCTGCCACTGCTCCCAGGTGCGGGCGGAGACATCCTCCCAGTCCTCGGTGCCGCGGCGCCACAGGTCCACGAACGCGTCGCGCGCGCCCTCCCACGTCTCGGGCGACCGCGTCTTCTCCCAGTTGGCGTAGGCCGCGTCCAGGCCGCGCTCGTAGGCGCCGCTGGCCACGTCGCTGGCCGCATCGTAGCCCTCATGCGCCTTGCCCTCCGCCTTCTTCCAGGCGGCGTAGGCGGTTGCCTTGGCGTCCTCCCAGGTGCCCTTGCCCTTGCCCGCGCCGGTGCGGTAGGCGCTGTACGCCTGGCCCATGGCCGCGCGCCAGGAGTTGGAGGCCTGGTCATACCCCGCGCCCGCCCAGTCAGAGGCCACCGCCGCGGCCTTGTCGTACCCGGCGCTGGCGTAGTCGGCGGCCGTGTCGACCGCCTGCTGCGCGCCGCCGCCCACCGAGCTCGCGGCGGAGGCGGCCGCGCCCTTGGCCGTGTCAGACGCCTCCTTCACCGTGGCGGACGCATCCTTCACCACGCCCTTTGCCGCGCCCTTGGCCTCCTTCACCGCGCCCTTGGTGGCACCCTCGGCCTGGGCGGCGGTGCCCTTGGCGGCGCCCTTGGCCTGCTCCCAGGCGCCCTTCACCGCGCCGACGACGTGGTCGGCCACGCCCGCGGCCTTGCCGGAGGCGCGGTCAGCGGTGGCGGCAGCCTTGCCGGTCGCCTGGTCGTATGCGCCGGCGACCTTGCCGGTCGCGTGGTCGGCAGCTCCCGCGGCCTTGCCAGAGGCGCGGTCGTAGGCGCCGGCGGCGGCAGACTTGGCCTCGGCCGCCTTGCGGGCGGGGAAGCTGACGGTGGAGGACCAGGTGTCCCACGCTGCCTTCTTTGCGTCGTCCCAGCTCTGCTGGCTCGTCTCCTTGCCCGACTCCCAGGCCTTCTGGGCGGTCTCGGTCGCCTGGTCCCAGGACTCCCCGGCGCTGTTCTTCAGGCCCTGGGCCTGGGCATACACGGCGTCCTGGTAGGAGCCGCCCAGCCCGGCCAGGCGCTTGGCATGGAACCAGGCGCGACCAAACAGGCTGCGAGAAGGAGGAGGTGCACAGGGACGGGCGATGAACTGGGGTGCATTGGGCTTGTACTCGCATACTGATGATGGAAGCATGATGAAAGCTGGTGTGCCCCGAGCCTCAAACGCTGTGCATAGCGTCGTGGCTCACCTCTGTGGTGCAAGCTCTTCCCAGGAGCTGGGTCCGTTTCCGGCAGGTGTCCTGCAAGAGCATGGATGTAGAAGTGGCAGTGAGGTGCAGGTCGAATGGACACAGCCCCCTAGCAGGGGAGGACCAAGGACACTTGCAATTTAGTACCTACAACCAGAGATACCAAACTCACGTGACGCGGATATACTCCACCTCTCCCACATGGCCGGGGAGGTTGGTGGACACTGGGACCACGCGGTCATCTGTTGAACAGAGATGGGATTATGGATCAGTCACTCGATCAATGGTGCCAATCCTTCTTGCAAGACGAAAAATGCGCCAAAGCCTTGTAATCAGACCACACAATCACTGCCGCCTTCAAATACAACATATCCCAGACTACAGCAGGATGCTGCATCTCAGGCACCCGACTCACTTGAGACATAGGATCCCTTGATCCTGTCCACCAGGCTCCTCAGGTAGGAGGGGAGGCCAGCTGCCTGCTCGGCCTGGGCCTGCAAATAGGGGGGCGGTGCAAAGCCACGTCAGGGAACGGCACTCACACTTCCGGACGAGCAAACAACACACCCCCCAGCCATCGAAGTAGACTTGGATGGAAGGGTGGATCATCACCAAGGAATTACTGAGAACCAAGAATCACCTGTGGAGCGCCGACGGCGAGCAAGATGAACAGGGCGATCGACACCCCGCGCATCGATGTCGAAGGACGCCTCATGGCGTCTACTCGTGATTCAGGCAGTAGTCCGATCAGACTACCTCGCGCATGGGTTTTAAATGTATGCAGTGATCAAGTTGTCCAAGCGTGTAGTCGGGGCAACGTGCTGTAAGCGGCGATCGTTGCTAGTGACGGAACAGTCTGCCCGGCAACGGGCAGTGGTGGTGAAGCTGCCTAGAAGCACGCCTGCTCCTGTTGCCGGTACCTTCGCAGCACCTGCCCCCCACTTGCTATTGGTTCATTTAGAAACAGGCACGCATGACGAGCTTGTATAATCATATCCAAACCTACATTTATCCCTTCATTCACATCAAACGTAACCCACTCCCATCTGTCCATCGACATCGACATGGCTTCCCTGAGAATGATCTGCATGCAAACCGCCCCCCTGAGGGCTGTCGCCTTCACCCGCCCGGTCGTGAAGTCGCACCGCCAGTTCCGCTCTGCCCCTGTCGTGCTGAGGGCTGTCAACGTGAGTTTCATGGTTTGACCGATGGCCTAGCGATCGTGCATCGCATTCCCATGAGCGGTTGCGTCTTATCCACGGGACGGACGGCCATGCTTCTCACGGAGTCGGCTGGGTAGTGCGATGCGGGCGATCTCACATGTTTCCCCCACCTGTTCCACAGGAGGAGAGCCTGGGCGACAAGGCGCGCAACGCCTACGAGGACGCCAAGAACGCCGTCGGCAACGCGGCTGAGACCGCCAAGGAGAAGATCTCCGGCGCGGCCGACGAGCTGCAGGGCGCCGGCGAGGACATCGCCGACAAGACGTGAGTGTTGAACGCCATGCGTCAGTTGCAAACATGATTGGCATTGACGTACATCATTTGGATCACACATGTGTTCAATCCCAGACTCATGCATCTGGCTTGCGCCTCCACGATCGCAGGAAGCGGGAGGCACGCTCCGCTCAGGGCACCGCCGAGCGCAAGCTGGACAACACCTCCGGGTCGGCCAAGGTACATTGGATTTGGGTGATATGTATACCTGGAAATTCAACTTCTTTGATGCTGTTTCAGATCATGCCATCTGCCTGCATGACAAGTAGCCATCGCACAGATTGGCTTCATCCAGCAATATCCCTTCTCACTCTGCCCCCACAGAGCGCGTACAACGACGCTAAGGGAGAGGCAAAGGATCTTGGCCAGCAGGCCAAGGACCAGTTCAACAAGGCCAAGGGCGCGGTCGAGGACTTTGCCTCCGATGTGAAGGGTGATGCCAAGGATGCTACCCGCGACGTGAAGAGCGGTGGTCGGGACCTGAAGTCCGATGCCAAGAGCGCGGCTCGTGATGCCAAGAACGAGGGCAAGAACCTCGCCGACCGTGCTGGTGATGCCATCAAGGATGTTGGTGACAAGCTGAAGCAGTGAGCCACCCCCCCTTCTGGTTGAGAGGCATTCGTTGAACAGCACCCACCCTTCCGACTGTTGATTCTGTGTGGCTGGTGACACCAAAGTGTTCCCCAGAACTTTTGTGTATTGTACTTCAATTTTAATAACGTTATCACTGAGAATTAAACTCAAGTGTCAGGGATTGAAGGAAAATAACGTGTGCAGTGCCACGCTAGAAACCACTTCGATATCATCTCCCATGCCATACTTCACTCGACACCTGGACTATTGGCTTGCATTCCTGTCCACACCAGAGTATCACCAAAACTCCTACAATTCCTTGTCCTCCCCTGCACTATCGAGGGGTAGTGACCACATCACCTGTCCAGCCTGCAAATCCAGCAGCACAAACCGGTACCACAGCGCCCACAGCGGGATGGTGGCCAGGTGCCAGACGGCGTGTGCGTCCAGGGTGTGCCAGAGGAGTGGGGGAAAGTCCAGCACCTCCAGCAGGCTAGCTGCATTCAGGCTGGCAATGAAGACCAGCAGCGACCGGCGGCTTGGGTGGGTGGCGCCCTCCCGCGTCCACCATGCCCAGCGCAGCCAGAGCAGGGTCTGCAGGAGGCCCAGGGCCAGGCAGGCCACCACCCAGCCGCCGTAGTCAAAGCGGCGGGTGAGCATGGCGTGCACGCGCGCCAGGTAGGCCACGCCCAGCACGGCGCCCAGCGCCGCGCGGCGCCGCGGGGCGGCGGCGCCCACGCAGCGCAGCGTGCGCAGCGCGGTTACGTACACGCCCAGCGCCACCACCGCGCCGGCCAGGAAGTAGTCGGCGCGCTCCGTGACGCGCGTGTCGCGCGCGTGGAAGGCGGCGCTGGCCAGCCAGGCGGCGAGGGAGAGCAGGCAGTGCGCCAGGTAGGGCGGCCCGCCGCGGCGCCCCGCGCGCCACAGCGCCCGCAGCGCGCGCGCGTGCGCCGCGGCGTTGAGCAGGGAGGCCACGGAGGAGAGGGGCTCCTGGAGTCCCAGCCAGCGCGTGAAGGGCCACTTGCCGTGGTACTTTTGCGCCGCGTGTGCGTGGGGCGGCGGGGTGGGGCGCCAAGGAGTGGGGTGCCGAGGAGTGGGCTGCTGGAGCGCGGCCCTTACCTCCGGCCCCTCCACCGCCCACATGCACAGGTACCCGCAGTCGGTCTCGCAGGTCCACGCCGTCCAGCGCAAGATGATGGGGGGCGCCGCGCTGCCCTGGTCCCCGTCACCAGGGACGCACAGGGGGGAGTGCACCTGGCCGCGCCCCCCGCTGCCCTCCACGCAGTGGTAGAGGCATCCGCGGTACTCAGGGGCCTCGTCTCCCGAGCTGGCCAGACAGGGGGAGCCCAGCGCGCCCAGCAGGACGCACAGCAGGGCCAGCGCCCTCATGCTGAGAGGCCCCGTCAGGGCGCAAGCGGGAGGGCGCAGGCCTCTTTGACCTCGGCCTGCCACTGCTCCGCTCGCAGTACCACGTCCACCAGCTCCGCCGTTAGATTGATCACCTGCGGATGTAGGCCGGACAGGAAGTCAGGACCCTATGAAGCTGGGGGTTTTGAGTCGGGCAGCGTTGCCCCACACCGTCCTCGGAGAAGGTGAGGATTATACACCCCACTCAATCAAACACATCCGCGAGTCACCTTGTGAGCTCTGACGTAGCGGGGTCCAGTGGGGTCCTCGGCCACGGGGCCCACCACCAGGCAGTAGTCTCCTGGCACGATGGAGGCGAGGTCCAAGCCCGGCAACCGCGACGTCACCACCACTGCAATCACGGCGCCGCTGCTGTCCTTCAGATTCAAGCCCGCGTCTGTGCGCTCACAGACCGTGCCCTGGTTACGAAGAAGTGTTCTGAGAGGCTTTTGAAATCAGTATCACGAGGTGGCATGGGTGAGAGTGGAGGCTCCCCTTGCGTCCGGTACCATCATGGCGATGCAAGAGGGGGAATGCTAGGGGTCTCACCAAACCGAGTGGTCGCCAGCCTCACTGTCACAGTCCCTCCCATCTCGAGCGGGAATGCGTGCGATTCCCATCACACCGATCCGACCCATCCATTGCCAAAGGCACTGCGCACCTGGATCCAGACTCGTTCGAATGGGGCTCCCCACTCCGTGCGGTATGTCCCCCGGGTACCGGCTACCGGGCAGCGCTGGGCGCCCAAGACACCCTCGACGAGCAGCTTCACGCAAGGCAGTCCCACAGCCTGCATTGAAGCATGCCATTGCTGTGCAGCCGGCGCCGAAGATCATCTGTCGGGGGAAGTTTGTGCCTGGAATCATCCAATTCCAATTCAGCACGTGAGGAAACCGTGGGGACCTCTAGACCGCGCGCGGCATCCAATCCGTTTGTGAATTTTTGCCAAGGCCATGCTGGACGGGCCCATACCCATGCAGGACCGTCGTCGCTCCTAAACATCGACAGCCAGGGCTGCCAGCCTCCCCGCCCCGACCCCGGTGCGCGCCGGGCTGCGGCGCCCTGCGCCATGGTCACCACGTCCAGCGCGGTGCAGGCCCAGCCGCCCCCAGCCGCGGCGAGCGGGGAACCAGCTGTTCTAGACCGCATGAAGGGCGCAGTTACCACTCTGCTGGAGTGCATCGGCGAGGATCCCAAGCGGGAGGGGCTCGTGGACACGCCAAAGGTGGGTGGTGCAGGGGGGCGCTGCCCGGCCCACGACTGTCGCCCGCCCGCACGCCTCACTTAGAAGTCTCCCTACTGAATGGTTCATGCAGAGGGTGGCCAAGGCCTGGCTGGACATGACGCGGGGGAGCGGCCAGGATCATACAGGGTGAGTTTTGTTGGAGGGCGTCCCAGCTGGTGCCTGATGTTGCTCCCTGCTGACCCATCTGTTGTCGTTCCGACCCCCATACTCCTCACCACCCATCACCCCAGTGCCTTTGGCTCCGCGCTGTTCCACGAGCCCTGCCTGGCCGCCGCGTCCGACGGCCTGGTCCTGGTGCGCGACATAACCTTCGCCGCGCTTTCCAGCTCCGCCCTGCTCCCCTTCTACGGCGCGGTGCACGTCGCATACCTGCCCCGCCACGGCACCATCCTGGGCCTGTCCAAGCTGGCGCGGGTGACCAAGGTCCTGGCGGCCCGCCTGCAGGACCAGGCGGGCTTTACGCGCTCCCTGCTGGCGGCCGTGGTCGCTGAGTTGGCGCCCGCCGGCGCCGCTGTGGTCTGCGTCGCGCGGCAGCTGGGCGGCATCGAGGCGGAGAGCGGGCCACGCGTGACCTGCCTGGCCGCAGGTGCATTGCGCCGCGCCGACCGCCTGATAGAGCTGGAGGCGGTGCTGGATCTGGCGCCGGGGTCGCTGGATTTGGGAGCGGAGGGGGCGGCTGGGCTCGACACAGAGCTCCTGATTGGGTCGGGGCCTGATCACGTGGATGTGAGCAGAGAGCGAAGGCCGCCCTCGGCGCTCAACCCCGAGCCTGAGTCCCTTGACGACTCGGCCGGGCGCGCGCCGCCCGCCACGCGCGCGCGCATGGAGGCCGCGGTCCGCGTGCTGGTGGAAGGCGTGGCCGAGGCGCACGGCGCCAAGGTGGACGCCCGTGCTCTGGTCGCCAGCCGGCGCTACGTGGCCTGGCTGCTGCGCGCCACCGCCGGCTACGGCGCGGCATTGCCACGCGGCGGTACGCCTGCCGGCCCCTGCTCGCCCGATGCCGGCTCCAGCTCGCCCGACGCCGGCCCCTGCTCGCCCAACGCCGGCCCCTGCTCGCCCGACGCCGGCCCCTGCTCGCCCGACGCCGGCCCCTGCTCGCCGTCTGCCTCCTCCTCCGCCTCCGACATGGAGCTAGACGCGCCTGCAGACGGCGCCCGCGCCGCGCCGCGCCCGCGCGCCGTGCGCTCGCGCAGCCGCAGCAGCGACAGCAGCAGCGACAGCGCGCTGCCCGTGGGCGCCACCTGGTCCGGCGCCGCCTCGCCCGCCTCGATGTCCGGGGACGAGGGCGAGGGCGCGTGCCGCCCCGTAGCCCCCGGCGCGCTCATGGCCAGCCTGGCCCTGCCAGCGCCCACCCGCGCGGCACCCCACTCCGCGCTGCACCTCTCCTGCCACGCCTTCAGCTCGGAGTGCGAGCACCACCTGCTCCCCTTCCACGGCACCGTGGGCTTCGCGGTGCTGGGCGCCGCGCCGGACGCCGGCGCACTGCGCGCCGCCGTGGCGGCCTACTCCCGCCGCCTGCAGGTTCAGGAGCGGCTGACGGTGCAGCTGGCGGACGAGGCCTGGGCGGCGGCCGCCGGCGCGGAGGCCCTGCTGGTCGTAGTACGCTCGGCGCACATGTGCATGGTCGCGCGCGGCGTCGAGCAGCACGCCAGCACCACCACCACGACGGGCGCGCGGGGGAGGTGGGCGGCCGACGCGGCGGGCCGCGCGCGCGCGCTGCGCGCCCTGCTCCAGCTCGCCGGCGGCGAGCGGCGGGAGCCCGGTGGCGCTGGGGCCCTGTGCTGAGTGCCGGGCCTCTTGGTCCATGTGCTCCGCCGCCGAGTGCGGTACCGCCAGTGTGTGACCCCTTATCCTGCGTGCCAGGCCTGTCCTGGAGTTCCAGTCGGTGCTGAGGTCGCAACCTTTCCCTACCCTTGTGATTCATCCCCTCCCACCACCGCACACAAGGGCCCCTCATGTGACCCCTTGTCCCCTCCATTCTTTCACTCCCCTGCTCAGTGAGGTGAAGAACCTCACTGCCCCTCAAAGGCTTGCTGGAGATTACAGGGGGGGTGGGCAATGCATATGGGAGTGTCCAGACATCATTGGGTGGGAAAAGGGGCGACGAGCGGCAAGATGCGGCATGCGGGGGAAGTTGACGAGCCTTGGCTCCGACGCATGCGGACGCTGCATCCGAGATCGGCGCTGCGACGCTTCACTGCGCGCGGTTGATGTGGGTGGCGTGGGAGACCTCGGCCCCCAGGCCCTTGGCCGCCAGCAGCGACTGGGTGTCAGAGGGGACCTCGCCGCGCGCGACGCGAGCCTCGGACTCGGTCGTGGGCGTCAGCTCCGCCTGCCACTCGTCCGCCTTCTTCTGCACCTGCTCCTTGGTGTGCTCCACCGCCCAGCGCGCGTTGTCGCTAGCAGCCGACAGTGAGTCGGTGACGCTGTGCGCGGCGCCAGCCACGCGGTCGGCCACGGCCTGCGCCGCGCCCGCCGTCTTGTCCTTGGCCGTCTCCAGCCCCGACACCAGGCTGTCCTTGGCGTCCAGGGTGCGGTCCTTGGCGGCGCCCAGCCCCGAGGCCACGCCCTCGCGGGCGCCGGCCAGCGCGTCCCGGGTCTCGGCGGCCACCGGGCTGCGCGCGGAGCGCAGGCGCGCAGAGTCGTAGGCATCCACGGCGGTGTCGCTCAGGGAGATGGAGTCGCCCGTCGCGTAGCGCGCCGCGCGCTGCGACTCGGTCTCTGCGAGTGAGTAGGAGGGTGGAGTGTGAGTGTGTTGGGTAGGGCTGTTATGGCTGGTGGTGACAGGGGTACACGAAATGGGGAGGCTATTGGTGCAGCCCCAGGCGAGAAGCAAGTTCTGAGCAGCGTCCTGAAAAGGATGCCTGCATATCACGCCAAGCATCTGCAAAACTGTATAGAGGTGAGAAACAACATTGCCAACCCCTGCACCTGTGGGGCGGTTCAGGCGTGCCTCGCGCAGTTTGTCCTCAGCCTCATGGACCTTGGCCCCTGCGGTGTCGGCGGCACCGCCCAGCTTGTCCCTGCAAACAGTGGCGAAGGAGGTGTTTGAGAGGGTGGGGAACGGCGGGATGTGGGTTGCGACCTGCAACGACAGCCACACTTGCCACGGAGGGCACGGCGGGTGCTGATTCCGGTCAGGATGGGTGCTAAAAGACACACCTCACAGCCTGTGAGAACTGTGCGTAGTGGAAGTCGCCCGGACCGGCGCGGTACTCGCGGACGTATGGCTGCTTGGCGCTGCCACCCTGGCCAGGCAGGTGCTCCCTACCGAGGCATGTGGGGCAGGCAGTCGCCGGCATGTCCGAACCCCCTAGGGCCCGTCGCCGATCCCCGCTCGAGAAATTTGCGCTGCACCGCCCCATCCGCACCCCCCACCCCAGACCTCCAACACCGCTCATCTCCTGCAGTACCTGACGAATCCGGCGGCGCCCTTGACGGCACCAAACAGCCCGCCCAGCGTGCCCGGCTGCTCGCCGTCAGCCAGAGCCTCGCGGTCGCCGCGCCGGACCAGCTCCTCTGGTGCGGCGTCGCGCGCCTTGCTGGCCGCTGCGTCGCCCAGCCCCTGCTCGCCATCCTTGGCCCTGGCAAGGAACGAATGGGAAGTGGTTCGGTGTATGATTTACCCCCACAAGGGTGACAGCAGAGACCTTGGGGTTGTCAGCTCACAGTCCCACCCTGCCCCACCCTCCCCAACAACCCACACGCATACCCGACGTAGCTGGCAGCGCCCTTGGCGGCGCCAAACAGCCCGCCCACGGTGCCCGGCTTCTCGCCGTCCGCCAGCGCCTCGCGGTCTCCGCGCCTGCGCAGGTCCTCAGGCGCCATCTCGCGCGCCTTGCTGGCCGCCGCGTCGCCCAGCCCCTGTGCGCCATCCTTGGCGTCGCGGCCCGCGCGGCGCGCGGCACCGGCCGCGCGCTCTGCCTCCGAGCGCAGCGCATCGCCTGCGTCGCGCGCGGCGCCCTCCCCGCCGCGCACGACGTCGCGCGCGGTGAGGTTGGGCGGCGCAGCACGCGGGGCGCCGTAGCTGCTGGCCGGCGCGGGCAGGCCGGCGGGGCGGGCGGGCAGCGCGTCGCCGCTGGCCAGCGCCATGGCGTCGGCCAGCAGGTCCTGGCTGGCCTGCTCCGCCGCGCTGGCGGTTGCCTCGTCGTGCTCCACGTGCACCGTGGGCAGGTGCTCCTTGATGTACTCCACGCCGCGCGCCGCCTGCTCGTACACGGCGTCGCCAGCCTCGGCAACCTTGTCGCGCGCCGCGGCCGCGTACTCGCGCGCGGCGTCGGCCGCCTCGCCCGCCGCCTCACGCGCGTGGCCGAGCGCCTCACCCGCAGCCTCATCCACCTCGCGCGCCTTGTGCTTCGCAGCCTGCGCCGCCTCGCCCGCCGCTTGCTTGCCGGCCTCCACGCTCTCGCCCGCCGCAGACTTGGCAGCCTTGCCCGCCTCGTGCAGCGACTCCTTGCCCTTCTGCGCGGCCTCGCCGGCCTTATCTCCAGCCTTCTCGGCGTGCTTCTGGGCGTAGTTGAAGTTGGGCTCGTTGCTCAGGGGTTCGCCGGCCTTGTTCTTGCGCGCCGCGCCGCCAGAGGGCTTGCTGCCGGTGGTGGAGGATGTGTCGGTCGTCTTGGTCTCACCCTCCTTCACGGTCTGGGCATAGGAGATGTCGCCGGGGGCCTTGCTGACATCTGGCTTGCCGGGCTCTGCAGAGGGAGGAGGGGGGAGTGGGGCTGGCATGCAGACACCGGCAGGCTGTGATTCGGGAGGGGTGTGTGGGAGCAACGCCCGTTTTGTCCCTTCCACCGCAGAAGGAGAACATTGTGAAGGCCTGCAAGGCAAGGTCGAAACGCATAATCCCATCGAGAGCATCGCGAGGGCAGTCCCATACACCCCTCCCTGGAACTTCCACTCACTGTGGGGCTTGGGTGCAGGTGGCGCAACCTGCCACATGTTCAGGAGGTAGAGGGGCGGGGAGGGCGAGTCAGTATTCTCGACACAGCACATCAGAGGCATTAGTCACGATGGATGCAGCATTGAGGAGCAGCAAAAGACCAGGGCAAACCATCAGCCACGCCCTCACCGTCTCGGGTGCGGGGATGGTCTGCACCTTTGCGTCCGGCTCCACGACCTGTGTGCCGGGGGCGGAGGCCTCGCGGCGCAGGGCCTCGTAGGGGTTGTTGCCGCTCATGCTGCTGGATATGTCTGACCTTGTTCGTGAATTTTGTTTCGATGGAAGGGCTGGGTGTGGGAGATAGATGCCCCGGATCTGGCCTCTGGTCTCGTATATGCGGGGCTCGGGCGAGTGCAGGCTGTGGCAGGCAACTACGGGGTAGCTACCGGGATGCCGCATACGTGGGGACTCACTCAGTTTGCCTGGTTTTGTAATCAGCAGTTGGCCTGCGAGTGCCTGCGCCCTCACCGCGTTTCTCAAAGTCTGAGTCTTGCAGACACCCCGTCTTCATATTCTTCATCAGGGTGGAATGTTCGTGCTGGCGCACCAGTGTATACTGTGCAGTGGGGCAGCCAGCCAGTGCGACGGCCAGTCTTGAACATTCCCCTCACCCTGAGAAGGGTACAAAGAGAACTTGGGCTGTACGGCATCCAACCTCTGACTCAGTTTGCTGATATAAAAGGGTATTCCATTTCTAGGTCAAGGGCAGGGACTTGCACCATTCTGGGTCCATGCCAGCCATACATACAGGTGCAGATGTGAATGCACCCCACCCTCGTTTGCGCAGCGATGCAAAAGCTTGCCGTTCATCGCTCTGCAACCGCTGTTGACACCTTCAATCGACCTCACTCAATCGAATTCAATCTATAAGGAAGAACATCGCAACAAGCATGAGCTCCATGTCGTCTTCGCTGAGTCCACCCCGTCCTGGCTGAACCGAAGCTGAGCGGGCTGCATTGCATTATTGCATCCTCAGTCCCCAGATCCGTGACAACACCGTTGCGTGCCGCCTCCCCGCCCCCCTCATGGAGGCCGGAGATGTCGCGCCGCTCACCTATGTCGTGTTCCAGATCGAGGACCAGCTGGTGGTACGAGGGGTGGCGCATGAGGTGGACCTCATCTCCCGGCATGCCGCACGCCCCCGTCAGGCTCGGGCACCGCTGGCTGGTCTGGCCCACCAAAGGTTGTCTTCCCCCTGCTTGAGGCGCCCCCCTCCTTCCCCCCCGTCCTACAGGTAGCCTGCGACCTGGAGGGGTGCGAGCTGCTGCGCCTGCCCTGCGCCTCCGAGGAGGAGGCCAGCAGCCGGGAGTTCCTAGACCTCGTACACGCCACGCTGGCATCGTTGCTGCCCCACGCCACCCCGCTCCCCGGCACGCTGCCCTCCCCGGCGGCCGGCGCCGACGCGGAGCGCGAGTGCCGCGCCACGCTGGCCGCGCTGGCCGAGCAGGACGCCGCCATCGCACGCGTGATGGCGGCCGACGCGGAGGAGGAGCGCGCGGCCAGGAGGGCGCTCGAGGCGCGAGACGCCCGCCTGGCGCGCGGCCTGCAGCGCCGGGAGCGCACCATCGGGTCGCTGGCGCCAGGCCCGGCGGCGCCCTCGCCCCCCCCCTCGCGGGCGTGGGCCTGGGTCGATCCCTCGGCCCCACCCGCCCTCCCCGCCCAGGACTTCCCGGCCCTCTGCGCGCCAGCCAGCCCCGCACGGGTGCCTGGTCGGCCGGCGCACCCGCAGCAATGTCCGGGCGGGCGACCGCATGACCGCACCGAGGCGCCGCTGGACTGTGGCCGTGACGCCCTGCCTCAGACAAGGGCGCACCCCGCCGGCCCACGGATCCCCGCCCTGCCTTCGCTGCCCAAGGTGCTACTGGGTATTTTCGGTGGAGCTCGCGGCGCCTGCAGTACCCTGTTTGGTTGCGTCATGGACTGGATAACCCTCTCCCTCCCAACCCCGGAGAGCCAGGCCTGCAAGTGAGCGGCGCTGCTCTGACACATCTCCCCTTCAACTTTCTCCCTCGACCCATCCCGCAGGCAGACGCGTCGGTGCGGGAGGCGGTGCTCAAAAGCGCCGCCTGCACCTCTCTCCAACCCCACCGCCAGCCGCCGAGCCCGGCCCGCCTGCGCCGCATGATGCACGCCACCGATAAAGAAAGGGAGGCCCACGAGTCCAGCGAGGAGGAGCCGGAGCGGGTGAGCAAGTCCAGCATCCGGAAGCTGGTGGCCGACATGCATGCGCGGGGCTGGCACCCCGTCAGGCAGGGCCACAGCGGGCACTACAAGTACGAGCGCCTGATCCCGGAACTGGGGGGGCTGAGGCAGATGCACATGCTGGCGGGGACGCCGTCGAGCCGGCGCTACATCTGGGCGGTGCGGGCCGCCATGGCGCGCGCAGACCGCGAGGTGGCGGAGCTCAGGGCCCGCCAGCAGGGGCCGAGCCTGGTGGCTTGACTGGAGTCTGGCGGGGGCCGTGCCTGTCCACCCGCAGGGGCTGACAGCGCAAGCAGCAGGATCCAGCCCCCAATCCCTTCACCTTCCCAATCTCTGTCGGAAGAAAGGGGCCCGGTTACATTGACATGAAGTGCTTTGAGGCATGAGGCTGGAGGCACACTTTTTGGATCACACTGGCCTCACAGCCGCCCTCACAGTGGTCTTCCACATGATGGACCGACTGAAAATTGAAAGCGTACGTATAGGTCTGAGGCAGGGGCATGTGTGGCTGGAAGGGTGAGGGCCATGGGGGCGTACACCGTGCCCCAGATCACAGGCCCAGGTGGCATGCGGTCTGGGGCGCAGGCCAGGGGCCCTGGGAGGCATGGCAAAAACGAAGAAGTAGACTTACTGTGCGACGTGCGATGAAGGAACATATTCATGGCACGGCCTGCTCGTTGGGGCTTCTGACCAAAGGGCTCAGTCTGGAGATGCCCAGCCGACCCTCATGCCAGTCCTCATTGCTGCTCTGCATGCACGAAGGGAGAAAAGGCTGCATGAGCATGGAGGCGCCAAGCGCAAGCGCAGCCACACAAAGTTGTGTGGATTCGTGGACGTTTGCGCGTGCCTCACCCCATCCTTGCACCTTCACCCATAACCCTTGCCTGTGAGTTTGCGCTCTCCTCTGCATTGTCGGACAGGCGACCCTTCCTCATGAAGCTCAGCCCTGACGATGGCATGGATCCGTACAGCAGAGCCGCAGCTCCATGCGGGGACAGCCCATCCGACCGAGGGCTGTTGCTTGCGCTGGTCATTCCAGAGGGGCGCTCCAGCTGCCTGCGCCTGGGGCTGGCCATCCCCCCGGACATTCTCCCGAGGCCAAACGTCCCATCACGGTCAGGGAGCGAGCGCGGACTGGAGGCCATGTCGAAATCAAAGCCCCTGCGAAGTATCAGGGTCAGGGTGAGAGGAAGATAGCGCTTTGACTACCCATCTGCTGGACGGGACTGTTTCCCTGAGCATGCTTCAGCCTCTTTCCATTGACGCAAGGAGCACATTGCAATCATTGTGCACAAATTAGCTCCATCTGAACCCTCCCACATCCCTGGAACCTTCCTCACTTGGCGGTCTTCAGTTGCATGGGCTCTGCCTCCCTCCAGGAGCTCTGCAGTTCAGCCACGAACTGTGCCTCTTCCTCATCAAAGGACTGGACGACCTGCTCCGCCAGCTCATGAAGCGGTCCGAAGATGCCGTTCTCGGAGGTATTTTCGGACCGATCCGTGCCGGCGTTCTCGAGCGTGGAAGGGTCCGGCAAGGTCGGGCCCGCCGCGCCGCCTTGCGGAATGGAGTCTTGGACGAGGAGGGAGTCCGATGGCGTCGGGCCCAGCGCGCTCCCGTCGCGCACCTCCGGCATCAGGTCGGCATTCAAGGAGGTGAGCCTCTCCAGCTCATCAACCTCCCTCTTGATGTGCTGCGCAGTGGTGGAGGGTTCGATGATCGGGAGCATTCCGGAAGCCCTCGATGTCAAGATCGGTCTTACCGTCCCTCGTGGGAACGTTCAGACACACGCCAGCACACCTTGATGGTGGTCTCAAGAATAGAGCGGCTACTGCGATGAAGCATAGCGCACTTGGTCTGCGCTCTTCCCACGCATTCCTCTATGACGCGAGTTATCTGAGCTTTCGAGCTGGCATTTAAGAGGGGCCTGAGTTCGTCTTCCAGCTCCGCCACCCGCTGACGAATGCCCTGTGCACGTCTCTCGAACGATATATTTGACATAGCTGTGACTTAGGTTTCTGTTTGCCTGCGATGAGACATTTGCGCCGTCCGTAAACCTTTCTGAACGTGCTGCGACCAGCGCGTTGTGCGATGCACGCCGGGAGCTTCGGAGCAACTTCAGACCTCCTCTCAAACTTCTGTACCATTCGACGTGAATGACAGAGACTGTTTCTCAATAGCAGTTATCTAAGTGTGTTTGGAGAGTGCCATGTGTATGCGAGTTCCAAGGTCGTCGGGATAGGGAAATCCACGCTCCGCCGAAACCTCGGGATCCTCCCTCACAGGTTTCTAAAAAGGGAGCATGACCTCAGATGGATCCTCTAGCCGACCAACGCAACCCTCGAGTCCTGAGCACCAGTCAAAGGATGACAAGGATCGAGGGCTGGTGGAGTCGGTGCATGAGCGGGCTTCCGTCGCCGCCAGCACCGCCATCTCGGTAGTTAGCCAGGCCACCAAGACTGCCAAGGATGCAGTGCGTGATGCGCTGGAGTACGGCAGAGAAAGGGTCTCGGAAATCAAAAGCAGCGTCAAACAGGTGTGGAAGGTGGAAACTCTCCCACTTGCTCTTTGATGGTGTGAGGCAGGAAGAGCATCCTTGTCAACCATGGTTCCTGGCAAGTTTCTGTGGATGTCGTCGGACTGCCTCCTCCACCCTACCCCTGCAGGAGGACTCTAAATCAGGCTCTCAGACGTCAGACAGTGCACCCATCATTAATGCATCGAGGGGCGAGGCACAAGAGGCCCGGGCACCAAAGGACAGGGCAGCCAGGAACGATGCGCCCAGTGACCAGGGTCCCAGTAATGAGGCCATCAGTGAGACGGTGCAACCCGCTACCGCAGCAAGGGCCAGGCTTTGAGACCCCAAGTAAAGCGCTGCCAGGAATTAATGGTGATGCGGATAAAGAATTCCTCTTGTGTACTATGCTCCTGCAGAATCCTCCCTGGGGAACATGCCATGTGGATGCTCTCGGGCATATGTGCAAGCTTTTGTACAGTCTGAGCTTTTCAACCACCAGTTCCAGTGACAGTACCAAAGGAGCCATCACGGGGCAGTGTGTGCCATGGAAAATTGCTGAATATTGGTCCTGACAGTATGCAGAGAGGGTCTGTGTGGAGTGGCTCGACGCCTGCCGTGCTTGCTTGCAGGGGGATCCGTTTCTCAAGAGGCGCCGCACTTGATGCGCCTGGGCAGTGGATCACATGAATGCCTTTGATGCGGGCGCCTTGCGTCAGCCAGGCATGTTTGCATTCCCCGTGCGTCGCTGAGCCAGGTTGTCATCCCGTCCATCACTGCAGCCCTGATAACCCTGGGACAAAACCTTGAGTTCCTACTTGAGAACTTTCCAGCTGCTACCTCCTCCCCCCCCATTGCCCGCTCCCCTCGTCCCTCCCCGCACCACCTGCTGGGGGTGCCCATGGTCACCCACTCCTCGGCGGAGGAGGGGTGGATGCCCACGGTGGCGTCGAACTGGGCCTTAGTGGCGCCGCACTTGAGTGCGATGCCCAGGCCCTGCATGATCTCGGCGGCATCGGGTCCCACCATGTGGCACCCGACCACCTGGCGCAGGGGACGGGTGGGGGATCGGGGAGCGGGGGGTGAGGGTGCCTTCCTGTGTGTTGCAGTGCATGTGCATGTACCAGTGGCGGCCAGCGGCAGGCACTGTCACACCCGCCGGCTGCACGCCGCTGGCGCTCTGTACCACAGTACCTCACACACATCCCCCAAAATCATCCCCCATATATCATACACACCTTGTCGCTCTCCACGTGCACCAGCATCTTCATGAAGGTCTTCTCCTCCGCCCCCGACAGCGTGTTCTTCATGGGCCGGAACTTGGAGACGTACACGTCCACCTCCCCGCTCAGCTTCTCCTGGGCCTCCTTCTCCGACAGCCCCACGGTGGCCAGCGGCGGTTGGGCAAACACGGCCGAGGCGATGTTGGCGTAGTCAGGCGCCACATCTCGCCCCCCGAACAGCGTCTCCACCAGCGCGCGGCCCTCCATCAGCGCCACGGGCGTCAGCGCCACGCGGTCCGTCACGTCGCCAATGGCCCAGATGCTGGGCACGCTGGTGCGGCTGAACTCGTCCACCACGATGGCCTGGCTCTTGGGCGCCAGCTCCACACCCGCATCCTGCGCGCAGGGTTTTGAGCGTGTGAGTGTGAGATTGTGTTCTTGAGCGTGTGCGTGTGATTGTGTGGAGGAGGGTTGGGGCAGGGGGGGGAGGAAGGGGGGGGGGAAGGAGGGGGGTGCGGTGATGGAACAGGCATCCGGGTGTCCGGGAGCCCCAGCCACCAGAACAATCTCAAAGAGGCTGCATCAATACTGGCTCGGCTGGCCCGGCCGGCATGCAGGCGCCAGTCAAAGGAGCGCACGATCCGATCCACCTGCTCCAGGGGGAGCCCCCACGCCCGCCACCCACACTGCCCGTCGGCGCCCGCCGCAGCAGGGTCAGCGGGCGCATGGACGGTGCTGCAGCGGCCACTCTCCCCCTTGGCCCCCCGCAGCCCCGAAGCCACACATCCCGCACAGGGGTGCAAAGACTCGAGCCTAGGACCTCGCAACTCGGCGCACCTCCAGACCGATGCCGCGGGTGTTGGCCCGGCGGCCGGTGGCCATCATGACCTTGCCGCAGCGCAGGGTGTGCTCCTGCCCGCTGCCGTCGCGGTAGTGCAGCACGTACCGCCCCTCCCCCTCCTTCTCGATGCTAGTGGGGTTGCACTCGGAGTGCACATGAATGCCACGCAGCTCCAGGTTCTCCGCCACCGCCGAGCGGCACTCGTCGTCAAACCTGCCAGAATCAGCGAGGGGGTTGAGGCTCCGGGCGAATACACTGGAAGGATGCTGCGCCAACCTTCCTGGCAGAGGAAAACTGTGGTGTTCTGCGCGTGCCAGGGCGAGCACAGGCAGACCCCTCCACCAGCGCCTGCATGCCTGGGCAGGCATCTGCGCACAGTCATCCCAGGGCGGCATGCGCGCGGCAGTGACCCGCATGTGCCAAGCACCACAAAAATCAACCCCACCGCATGCCACGTCGCCCCCACACTGCCACTCACGCTCGGAGGGGCAGCGGCGCTCGGTACATGAGGTGAACATCGGCGCCCAGCCCCTTGAAGATGCCCGCGAACTCGACGGCGATGTAGCCCCCGCCGATCACGGCGATGGAGGTGTCGGGGTACTCGTCCAGCACCAGCGCCTCGTCGGAGGTGATGGCATGCTCCTGCGTGGGTGGTGAAGGGGAGGAGGGGGCTTCAGGGAGAGGGGGTGGGCATTTGGCGTGCAGGTGGGCTGGCTCGGACGCCGGGATCGCATTCAAGGGCCCCTGCGAGGCACATGCCGTGCCGCCCAAGACAGGAGGAAACCCCACCAAACCCACCGCCCGCCCGACAGACCTTGCCCTCCACGGGGATCTTCACGGCCCGCCCGCCCGTGGCCACCAGGATATTGGCCGTCCTCAGCCGGCGCACGGAGCCATCGGCGGCCCGAACCTCCACTGTGTGCGGGTCCAGGACCACGCCACGCCCCTCGATCTGCTCCACGCCGGCGTTCTTCAAGATACTGGTGTACACGCCGTTCAGGCGCTGAATCTCCTTGCCCTGCCCCGGATGTTGGGGGTGGGAAGGTGAGCGCATGGGCCTGTTTATTTTCCCGATATGCATCGGAAAGGGCGGCGCGGGGGAAGCGGCCAGGTAGACATCCAGGGGGCGGCCCCCGGCCATCCGGTATGCCAGGCCGTGTGCCTCACGGCGAGTCGGTGCGCGAGCGCAGGCACCTGCAGCGAGGCATGCGGCGCCGCCGATGCCTGCTACGGAGCATTCAGAGCCAGGGGCACACCTCGCCGGCCCACCTTGCGGGCGATGAGCTGCTTGATGTCCACGGGGGGCGAGGCGGCGCCCCAGCCAAACCCCTGGGCGGCGCGGAAGCCGTCTGCGAACTCGGACCTGCGGGCGGGCACGGGCATGGTGTTCAGGTGGGCAGGAGGGTGTTTGACCCGGGGATCGCCCGCCCCCAATGTCTGCCGTGCAAGGTTCATGTCGCAGGCCTGCCCACACTCTGCGCCGCTCACGCATAGACCAGGAGCTTCTTTGGGACGCATCCGCGGATCACGCACGTCCCGCCAGCACCCCCCGTGCTGTCATCCGAGACGAAGCCAAAGGGGAGCTCGATGACGGCCACCTGTGAGGCATCCGGGCGCGGCAAAACAAGTGGAGACCGGGAGGCCGGCGGGTGCAGCAGCGGGTGGGAGGAGAATAATTCCGGGGCAGCTCGTCCATGGCACTCCCCCACCGTCACGGAATTTCGTGCGAGTCAGATTACCTTGCGGCCGTACTTTGACGCGGCCAAGCGTGAGGCGCGTACACCTCCAGAGCCTGCACCGATGGTGACCAGGTCGTACTCGAAACCATCCTCCCCGGCGTGATCAGACATATTTACTGGCCTATTAACCGTCTCCCGGGGTGCGAGAATGCCCTCAAGATGCCGCAGCATGGGCACTGAGTCCGAATTGTATTGGTTGAGGGCGCCTCTGGCCGTAGGGCGGGGGTTCAGTTTGTGGTCTGACAAATTGCCGACGATAATCCAAGAGGGTCAGTCCGTACATGCTGCCTATGGATCGCCTCGTATGTTCAATCAACTTGTTCTAACGCATAATACGTTCTAAAGTTTTAGATATGCCTGATCGTCGGTGTAAGCGGGGTTCTTTGTGCCATCCACACCCAGCACTCCCACCTCGGTGTTGCACTTCAACTCCCCCTGGTAAGCGCGGGTGCCTCCGCTGCCCCTGATCACCCATCCAAGCTTCCCTCGAGTGGGTTTACATGACGCTGACTGCTGGGCCAAGGAGAGCGGGGCAGTCCCATTGGGTCAATGAATACCATCCTGGCATGAAAAGTCTCAGTGAGTGCCCTCCATGGTGCTACACCTGTCACACCTGGAGCTCATGGAAAGTAACGCATGACTTGGGTGATTCTAGGCACGTGACATCATCAGCGTTAACAAATTTGCAAGTGAAACAAATGGAGGTGCCATAGCTCTAGGTCCCATCAGGTGTGATGCAACATGTCTTTGTATCAGGACTATGCCAGGTGTATTTTTACGACCCATTTTGTAAAGGTATATTGTTTGGAATAAATAGGTGTCTGACGTCATCCTGGACATCACCTTGCTTTGCAAATCTGGCCATGTGTACAGAGTCGGGGCAGGTAAAGCCGGAGGAGGTGGAGAAGGGGAGGGAGAAGGGAATGGTGGAGGTGAGGGTGGAGGCGATGAGGAGGGAGGAGATGATAGGGAATCCCTGGAGAAGGCCAATATCATCTCACACACATGAACGATGGCCTTCCCCACCGACTTCTAGCCTGGATTTTGCGCATGATAGGGGCACTTTCGGCGATGGGGTTAATACAGTGCGTGAGGGAGCCTGTGGTCCCGCCCTTTCCGATTTTCCGACAGCTCAGTCTCTGCCCCCGACGCCTCTGAGGCGCATCGCCACATCAAATCCGGCTCCTAGGCAACCGTGGGGACTGTTGTGACGTGAATTACTCAGGAAGGGTTACATTGGGTCGCGTTGCTGGGTGTCATACGGCCTCAAGCCTGCAGCTATTTGGTTTCGAGAACAGGCTCAGTCCGAATCCGGGTACCCTCTTGCCCCTTTCAGCATACCGAATCAAGTCCGGAACGGACGAATGCTCGAGAATGAAAGTCTTGGGGACGCAATGGCGAGGTTGGCGGACGTCTTAGATCGATGGATGCGCTGCCCCCACATCGCTGACGTCCTCCACCTGGACAGAGGCATGCCCATCTACTGGCTTGAACGCATGGCCAGGCGTATGAACATGGCGGTGCTGGACGATGAGCCGACGCGCCTCCAGTATTACGCCATCAACCTGCGGGGCCCTGTCTATGGATGGGCCTCATCCCTTTTAAGAGGGAACGCCTTCACACCAGCAGTGACCATGTGTGCGGAGTTTGAAAGGAAATTTCTGGATTTCTTTAGACCCATCTACTGCCACAGGCGGGGACGTGTGGATCTGTATCAGCTCCAGCAGCGGGGTAGCGTGGCAGAATATGCCCGAGAGCACCAGTCCATCGTGTCGAGCATCGAGGACCTGACGCCAGACGAGTGCCTTGCGACATTCACCTCAGGCCTCAAGCCAGAGCTGCAGAGGGAGAGCAGCGTGCACTTTGCCAGCAGCTATGAGGAGGCCTTGGTGAAGGCGCAGTGGCAGGAGCAGAATACCCGCCGCAGAAGACAGCGTAACCACACGCTCCCTGCCCAAAAGGGGCAGCGATAGGGAGACTTTAGCGCAAAGTGTCCCGACTGTGCTAGCCGCCACCTCCGACTGGCCCCGAAATCCCAGACAGTGCGGCCTATGGACCCTGCCTTTTGAATGGAGCTGTTGCAGGGAGTCCACCGCAGCGTGGGCCACAGTGGACTGCGGCGCAACCCAAGCGGACATGCCGTGCAACTGGCCAGGAGAAGACATGGACGTGTGACAGTTCGTCTACACCTGCGGCGCCTGCCAGCACAAGGTTTGCGTTAGAGCCTCATGCAGGACCACTCCAGCCCCTCCCAACGCTCATTCGTTCCCCGGCAGCAAATGCCCCTGAATATCATCACCGGCCTACCTGACGCGCCCCGTAGCTATAACGCCGTCCTTGTCTTTGTCGTCTGCTGCTCCAGGATGCAGCATTGCGAGTCCGCCACAAAGAAGATCACAGCGAGGGCGCTGGTCAAGATGTTCCTCGATTGCGTCTGCAATCTACCCGGCTCACCTGGCATTATGGTCGGCAACTGCGACCCTTACTTCACCATTGGGTTCTGGGCCCAGCTGTCTGGTGTGATGCACTTGCATGACTCATCATGGTGGTGGAGCTCAATTTGGGGCTCAGTGAACCCCAGCCGCCCTTTCGTTTCAGAAACTCTCACTCAGTCTATAAGCAAATCATGTCCAATCCCGTTTGGAAGTCTGGGGTCTGGAATCCTCACGGCCGTAGAGACGCTTGTCTGAGCATGCTCAGCTACTCTTCAACCGGCCAGAAAGCCTACCCGCAGGAGACTCTGGACTCGCATCTGCAAGATGACCGTCTGACATGCACCTACATGGACACGAGGAATCTATAGGGGCTAAAATGTGATGGGTTGAGGAGGTTGAGTCTTCGAGCTTCCCATGCGAGGGCCTCCCTGCCCAGCACAGGGGAAGGTCTAACTGCGTGGCACCACACTGTCCCAAGTGCGTGTTTGCCAGTGCTAGGAATCATGATTGTATTTATGGCACATGGTGGAGCACCCAGGGGTAGCTGTGGGCTTCGCTGGCTCAATGATAGCAGCAGGCATGAAGCCCACCCTGGCCGAATCCAATTCTTAATCGGAGTTAAAGAAAGCGCGACAGGAGAGGGTGGGAACGAGATCCTGTCGCGATGGAGGGTGAGCCCGGGCGTCCATGTTGGTCTCACGAGCAACCCCGTCCCAGATTGACTGTTCTTGTCGTATCTCAGCTTGGCTGTGCTCCGTGCTGAAGACCATCATGCTGGCGACAGCTCCCACAGTGAGTCACTGGGGGATAAGTCCCGGAGCGTCCCGTGCCCCCACCGGTCCAGGCAGGGTCCATGTGGGGAAGTCTACCCCGTTCTCCTCAATATCACATGCCTTGATTGTCCAATGCCTCCCATGCAGACCGCATTTGGGCAGGTGGCTCCAAGCAGGGTCTGCGGCCTGTCGGGGGCAGCCCGGAGGGCCAGCGTCATCGCCCGGGCCGAGAACAACAAGATCCAGAAGGTGAGCGAGGAGGGTGTAGATAGCTTCTCAAGGAGACTATCCTGAACCTCCGATGGTGAGCCGCATGGGCTTGCTTGAATTGCTGCCCTTGCCAGTTGCTTGGTGTCCAGTGCTTGCGCCTCGTGCCTGCCTCCCTGAACCCCCCCCCAGCAATCCTGCCTCTCCCGCCGACACTTAACAAGCCTGGCACAAGCCTTCCTCATCTCGCTCCCTTCTCCTCCTCCCTCTCCCTCATACGAGCAGGTAGACCGCATCCAGAAGAATGGCCCGCTGTACCTGAACTTTGCCAGCGACCAGTCCCTGACCTACCTGGACGGCACGCTCCCCGCCGACTTCGGCTTCGACCCCCTTGGCCTGTCCGACCCCGAGGGCGCGGGGGGATTCGTCACCCCCGAATGGCTGGCTTACGGCGAGGTGTACAACGGCCGCTGGGCCATGCTGGGCGCAGCGGGTGTGCTGATCCCGGACGTGCTGTCCCACGCGGGCCTGATTCCGCAGACCCCGGAGGAGATCAAGTGGTGGAAGACGGGGGTCATCCCGCCCGCGGGCCAGTACGACAAGCTTTGGCTGGACCCCTACTCCCTCTTCTGGATCGAGGCCATCCTGATGAACTTCGTGGAGCTGCGGCGGTACCAGGACTACCGCAACCCGGGGTCAATGGGCCGCCAGTACTTCCTGGGGCTGGAGGGCGGCTTCAAGGGCTCCGGCGAGCCCGCCTACCCCGGCGGCCCTTTCTTCAACCCGCTTGGCTTCGGCACCAAGAGCGCCGACGACCTCAAGGTCTGGAAGACCAAGGAGCTGCGGAACGGGCGCCTGGCCATGATCGCCATGCTGGGCTTCGCGGGGCAGGTGGGCAGGGGGTGATTGTCATGGGGAAGGAGGGAAAGGGTGAGGTTGTGGGCCGAGCAAGGAGGGCTCTGGACGCTCTGCTCGAGGAGCCGGGCGGGGGTGTCTAAGGCGGCGGCTGTGCAGGTGGGATCCACAGCTGAGCACATGGTACTGGCATGCACGAAGTGACAGCCTCGCCTGCTTGAATGCCCACCACGTTCGGTTCTCTCCTCCCGCCCCGCAGGCTGTTGCGACAGACCGTGGCCCAGTGGAGGGCCTGCTCGCCCACCTCAGCGATCCCTTTGGCAACAATGTCATCGGCAACCTGTCCCACTTCCTGCGCTGAGCATGCACCTGCATCCCCCTAGTACAATGGCAGTACCGCTGCAGAGAAGAATTCCTGGCGTGTAATCTTCCCCCCTCCAGACGGTGCCATGTGAATGGGGATCCACCCTTCATGGTCTTCAGCCAAGTGGGAGGTGGCCCTCGTTCAAGTGTGCCAAGGGGCACCAACCCTCTGGAGACTGTCGCAGAGGCAGCGCACATTATACATTCTGTTGCAGAATCTCACAGGCTTGGGAAAGGCCTGCTGCTCCACAGGCATCAACCAACCACCACCCAGAATCAGCATCAGAAGAGCTGGCCGCTGGTGGTGGAGCCCAGGCCAAGCGGCAAAGTGTGGAAGCGAAGGACTTGCTGGAGGAGGCTGGGATCCACTCCCAGCCTCGAAGCCATGGCCGCCACCTCGGCCTCGCCCTTGTCCTGACATCTGGTCAGCAACAGGGCCAGCTGGCGGCTGGTCAGTCGACCTCTATTCAAATCCTCTAGCTCGGCGGCTCCCAGTCGCGGCCGTACGACCTGGTCTGTTGTCTGCTCCTGCAAAGCATGTTGGATTCAGGCAAGGAAGGGATGGGAATCTAGCGCTCGTGTACCCTACCTATGATTGTCATGCAGGCCATGGGTGTGGGGAGAGAAGCTAATATCACCAGTGAAGTTCGGCTCCCTGGTCTGCTGATCAGGCTGCCATGGAGAGCAGCGGAGGCTTGCAGGCCAGAAGGCATCGTCCCCACCCCTCAGCACAGACCTGAGAAAGGCTGGTAGTGTGCTGTCTGATGAGCTTACCCAGGGCTTCCGCCTGGGACCCCACCTTCTGGGTTGCATCCAGCGATTCCGGCCCAGGCTGGGCCTCAAGCTGGGCGGCCCTGCTCTGTTCTGCAGTACTCGGTTTGACGGCAGGGATCGATCGACGAGTCAACTTCACGTACAATTTCACTGCATGCAATCTCGTTGGTGTGAGATTCACACGTAATGCCAAGGAATGCGACTTTCTCGCTGCGCACCTGCCCTACTAACGCCTTCTGTGGACGGCAGGGGTAGGTTTTCGACCTCCTCCACCACACGCCGGCTTCGAGACGCCGCCCTGCTCAGCCTCGCACCCATGACGGCTTACAAAAGGCGATTGCACGAAGTTGGAATATTGCCGATCCTTATGTGTAACAGATCTCTGGGTGCCGGGCGAGCAAAGTGTCGCATAGCTCGCAAGCTTGTGCTCTTGTCACGCGTTGGGGTCCTGGAATGCCTCGATTAATAGTACAGAAGGAATTATATTTCTGCAGTGGACCATAGTTCCCAATACTCCACCATGCGTGCCTCACAGCCAATGCTTGACGGTCGGGGACCCGCAAGCTAACCATGCGCGCCGACTAGGGAAATCAAGGATACTCTTCCGAGAATCGCCAGTGTCCACGGTTCTGAGAGTGCAGCGGACAGCGTTCACGTTTACACCTCCAGGTGAGGACGCGAGCTCTCCCAGGCCATTGAACATCCCATGGCACCTGAGGTCTCAGCATTCGCATGCCACAAGAGGCCTTAGTCCCCAGGCGCTGCAGGACACGTCCTGGCTCTGCTGAAGGCCTGCCCCCGCCTGACATTTGCATGCTCCCCCGCCCCAGATTCTGCCTGGACGACGTTCTCCTTGGAAACAAAGCTCACAGCTCTGAGGCGAGTGTGCTGTTGTCCTCATCCCCTGTCACCTCGCCGCTCTTGGCAATGGTGACCTTCTTGCTGGGCTGCCCCGACTGGCTGCCCAGGGCCTCGATCTTGTAGACCACATCCATGCCCTCAATCACTGTGGAATGGGAAGCGGGAGAAGAGAAGTTGAGGACCATGATGCCTGCCCTTCCACCATGCCCTTGCAGCAGCACTCTGACGCTTCCACATCAGGTGCTACTCTGCACAGGCTCGATTCGCTCATGGACTCCAGGCCCATCGCTCGTCAGGGAGTGGCTGCCCCAACCCCAGCCCGTCCCCCGGCCTACAAGATCCCCTTCCCTGCGCTCACCCCTGCCGAAGACGACATGGCGGCCGTCCAGCCAAGAGGTCTTCACGGTGGTGATGAAGAACTGGGAGCCGTTGGAGTCGCGCCCCGAGTTTGCCATGGAGAGGACACCCGGCCCGGTGTGCTTGAGCTTGAAGTTCTCATCCGCAAACTTGGGACCGTAGATGGACTCGCCGCCAGTGCCGTCTCCCCGGGTGAAGTCGCCGCCCTGCAGCATGAACTGGGGGATGATCCTGCGCGGTGGGATGGTGTGTGCGGGGCTGTGAGGGGCGGGGCATTGGGTGGAGCGGCTGAGTGATGGAGGTTTTAAGGAGGCCATGTGACTCATTGGTGACCCTGCCCATGGTGCGAGGCCAGTGGCGAGGTGCCAGGTTCCCACCTGTGGAAGTGGCTGCCCTGGAAGGTGAGAGGCTTCTTGGACTGACCAATGCCCTTCTCGCCTGCAGAACAGTGGGCACGGGTGCGGCGGTGGGTGGGGGGATGTGGCTGGACGGGGTATGCACATGCCGGACATCCCGCGCCCATGCAGCACAGGCAGGAAGCACCTGTGGCCAGTGCCCTGAAATTCTCCGCGGTTTTGGGGACGGTCTTGCCGTACAGCCCCATCACGATCCTGCCGGCAGGGGCGCCATCGATCTCGATGTCGAAGAACACCTGGCCGTCGAGGCGATCAAGGTTGAAGTCGAATGTGTACGGGGGGCCAACGACCCCGCAGGACAACTGCAGGCACGGCATCTTGATGGCACACCTTGCTAGTGATTTTAGGTCCCTTTCTCTCGGCCAGGGCGCCCGCGACCGCGGCCAGGATCACCAGCACGGTCACGAGGGAGCGGGACGACATCCTGGTCATGCGGGTCGCCCGTGGATTATGAATCAGGAAGAGCAATGGGAATGATCGGGGTTCGATGTGCGACGATTGCGCAATGATCTCGAGTGTTGGGTCCCCCATCCCCGGCATGACACCTGCCACGGTGCACAGCAGCGCAGCAGCGCGATCCTGCTTGTGTCGGACGGGGCATGAGGATGCTGTTGCGGGTCCTGGGGGTTTCTCTTCACCCGCTCTGCAACATTGTATGCATTGGTTGGAAAGACATAATTTGCACTGATCTTCTCCGTGCTGTCACGAGAGAGAGTGGAGCCTGCGCCTGGTACGCGCTGTCTCGCGCCCGCATATCCCCCAGCTGCCCCGCCCGTCGTCCCCTTCGCACGGGAGGCGCCGCTGGTGGACAGCACCAAGACGCCGCCTCCGCCACCCGGTGCCAGGAGTCGCCCGTGACTGTCGACGCCCCGGTTATGCCGCTGCACGGGGGGGCCCCGGGGCTCGCCTCAGCGCACTGCAGCTCGCCTTTCCTCAGCAACCTGGAGTCTTTCACCGTCCATACCACCCCCATCATCGTGCATCAGGTAGGTCCCGACCCCCGGTGCCTGCCCATGTGGTGGTCGCGCGACCGTATCCGTCCCACACGTCGTCCGCTCCCATGCAGGCCTGCTGCCACCCCGCCCACCCCGCTGGGTACCCCCTGGAGGGCCTCTGGTGAGTCACCGCGTGCTCGCACCTACCTGCAAGGGGATCACGTGGCCACGGTGCTCGGAGGCAGCCGCCGTGGGCCATGTGCAGGTTCTTGCAGGGCATCGCGCGTTCCTGCTCAGGGCCCGTGCACAATCCCCCGGATTTGCAGGAAGGCGTACGAGGCGTGGAGCGCCTACGGCGCTGAGGTGCCACTCACGCTGAACGTCTCTGGCGGCCGGCAAGAGGTGGGTGCTCGGTGCTTGGTGTGTGGCGGCGAGCAAGCCTGCGCCGCCGACTGGCTGGAGGGAGGGGTGGTCGACCCGCCTGCGGCTGCCTGGAGGGCGCCGCACCCGCGCGCCCCATGCATCGCCGGCGGAATAGGTAGCACGCCCCCTCCTTCCTTGCCTGTGTGCGTCGCCGGCGGCCCCTCACTCCCCCACCATCACCTCCCCTTGGGTACCCCACCCGCCCGCAGGTGGTCCAGAGCTACGTGCCGTACCTGTCTGGCATCCAGGTCTTCCGCGCCTCGCCCGCCCCGGACGCCTCGGTGGGGAGCAGCGGAGACAGCGTCGCCTCGGGCGACCTCTCCCCGGACAGCGACTGCGACGAGGCGTGCGCGCCGCAGCACGGCGGGCAGGCCGCGCCGCGGGCCGCCGGCGGCGGCGCGTGCCTGGCCGGCTCCCCCCGCACCCCCACCGCCTCCCCCTGCCCCGCCGACCCCAGCAGCGTGCTCAAGCGTTACAGCGCCTCGGCAGCGGCGCGGCGCGCGCCCGCCGGCACGGCCGCGGCGACGCCAACGCGGCCTGCGGCCGCGCCGGCGGGCCCGCCCCCCCCGCGGGCCCGCCCATGTGCGAGTTTTTCGAGACGGCGCCGCCACACACGCGCCCGCCGCTCTCCTCCGCCATTGCAGACCTGGCGGCGGCGCGCTGCCCCGAGCTGCTCACCGCCCGCAGCGGGGACCTGCACCCCTCCTCCTGGTACGCGGTGGCCTGGTACCCCCTGTACTGCGTCCCCGCCCCTGCGGCCGCCGGCCCCGCGCGCGCACTGCAGGCCGCCTTCCTCACCTTCCACGCGCTGGGCGTGGGCGGCGCGGCGGCCGCCGCCGCGCCGCTGCCGCCGCCGCCATCCCCCGCTGCGGCCGCCATGCTGTCCTGGCGTGCAGGCGCAGCCGTGCACGCCGCGCGTCGCTTCGGCGTGGGCGTGCTGGCCCTCCGGCCCTTCGCCCTGGTGCCCTACAAGGCCGCAGGGCGCGCGTGGCAAGGGGCTGACGACGGGCTGTGCGAGGCGGCGGCCGCCTGGCTGGAGGCGCGGGGCGTGCAGCTGTCCGACCACGAATTTTTCGCCAGGGCGCTACGCCGCGCCAGGCCGGCGGCTTGAGGGACGTGCTGGGGACGGCGTGGCGTCCCTTGCCCCCCGTCCGGGTGCCGCTTGTGGACAAACTCCTTCCTGCAGGCATTCAGGGGTGTGGATGCGCCCCCTCTTGATCTCCATCGAGTGCCCAAAGTCTTGGTATCTGATTTCATACCCAATGTGATAGCAGCATTGTGGCGTGATGCGTTCGCATGTAAGCCTTCCAGCCGCTTCCAGCGCGCGCTCCCTTGCGGGCCCCCGGTGCCCGGCATCCGCCCGACTGGGCGGTCATGAGGCTCGGGGCATCCTGCGTCGACACAAAAACGAGACAAGATATATAAAAATCTGCTTCCTACCACCCATTTCAAGCAACTCGGGATCACACACAGATCCAAGGCGAGTGCCCGCACCCTCTGCCCCCTCTACGACGTGCCAGGGACAGGCGCGGGTCACGATACGCTGGAGACGCCACCATGCCCGAGACCAGGGCGCCCGGTGCCCCCAAGTACGACGATGGATGCGATCGGACGTTCCATGGGTCGATGCTGCGTCGATGTGGCCTCAGGAGGGCTGCCCGCCTGGGAGGCATGCACGCCAGGCGCCAGCACCGATGCATGGCCTGGGAGCGGGGCATGCCTGTCCCTCCCCCCCTTCCCACAACCCTCCACGATCATTTATTTCCTGCAGGGCGGCGTACAACCTCTCTGACTTCGAGTTGCTGAGGAGACTGGGGGACGGCAGCTACTCCCAGGTGGTCCTGGCCAGGCCCAAGGCGGGGGGCAAGGAGGTGGCCCTGAAGATCATGGACAAGCGCTACCTGATCCGGTGGGTGCCTGGAGGTGTGTTGTACGCACCTGGTTCGCGGATAGAGCGCCCTGGGGTGGGCCTGCGGGCCGGCTGTCCTGGCAAACTTGGTGCTTGCCGCTGGCCTGCTCTGGTCGGGCGTGGCCCCATGCGTACGACAGTCCCACCTTGCTTTCCTCCCTGCGTGTGGGCCCTGGCACCCAGGTTCCTCTCCTCCCCCCCCCCCCCAAAAAAAAACCCATCTCTCTGCGCCTGCAGGCACAGCATGGTGGAGTACATTCGCCGTGAGCGCGCCATCATGGACCAGCTGTCGCACCCCGGCGTGGCCCGCCTCTACTTCACCTTCCAGGACGCATACTCCCTGTACATGGGCATTGAGCACTGCCCCAACGGCGAGTTGTACGACCAGGTGCGGCTCAAGCGCGCGCTGGGCGAGGACACCGCCCGCGCCTACGCCGCCGAGGTGGTGGACGTGCTGGCGCACCTGCGCGCGCGGGGCGTGGTGCACCGCGACCTGAAACCCGAGAACCTGCTGCTGACGGCGGAGGGGCACCTGAAGCTCATCGACTTTGGCAGCGCCAAGGCCCTGCCCGGCGGCGCGGTGGCTGCCAGCGGCGCCCTGTTTGCCGCGAGGGAGAGCGGCGAGTCCGGCCGCGGCACGCCCGCGCGCAGCGTGGCCGCCACGCCCAGCGCTGGCTCGCTCGCCACCTCCTCCTCGGGCCGCCTTCCAGACCTGGCGGGGGTGTCGCTCTCCGCGCGCGCGCCGCGGGCGCCGGCCGCCGGCGCGGAGGCGGGGCCGGGGCCCGCCTCCTCCCAGGGCTCCGCGCAGCGGCTAGTCAGCCTGGTGGGCACCGCCGACTACGTATCGCCGGAGGTGCTGGGCAACCGCGCCGTGACCCCGGCGGCCGACCTCTGGGCACTGGGCTGCGTGCTGTACCAGATGCTGGTGGGGCGGCCGCCCTTCAAGTCGCCCTCCGAGTACCTCACCTTCCAGAAGGTCATCAGCTTGGAGTACGAGATACCGGAGCACCTCTCGCCCGAAGCCCAGGACCTCATCCGTAGCCTGCTGCGCTCCGAGCCGGAGGAGAGGCTAGGTGGGGGTGGAATGGGGGTGGGTGGGCTGGGGTGGGTGATGGGAGGCCAGGGGGCGGATGCCCTTGGAGGGAGGGGGGGGAGCTGGTAGTGGGTGTTGGGAGGATCAGAGAAATGGAGGTTGACTTCTGGGTCTGACACGGGAGTGATAGATCCCCCAGTGCACACGCCGTGACTGCCACTGCGCTGTGCCAATAGGCAAGGGTGAGAAGTCTCACGTCCGGGGTGTGTGCAGTGTCAGGCTGCTCATCGCCAGAGTGCATGCCCGGCGATGCAGGGGCCCAGGACCTGCAGGAGCTGAGGCGCCACCCTTTCTTCCGGGGCATCGACTGGGACACGCTGTGGACGCAGCATGGGCCCAGCTTTGCCGAGCTGGATCTGGAGTCCATGGGCAGTGTCTCCTCCAGCTTCGACTGGGAGCTGCAGGTGCAAAGGGGTTGTGACAAGGGATGGGGGTGCAGTTTTTACAGGTTAGGCGGAGGCTGCAGGGCTGCATCACATCCGGCAGGGCAGTGGGAGACCTGCTGGAAGTATGAAAGGTACCCATGCATGCCAGAGCACTCTGCCAGGGTACTGCCTTGACACAGGGCTAGGGGGCGCACAGCATCTCGGCCAGCCCTGCGTTACAGGTCTACAAAGTGCAAGGCTCACTCATACAGATTTCCCCTCGCCCACGAGCCCCCGTCCCACACTCACTCCACCCCCTTCCCCCCTCGCATCGCCTCCATGCAGTCCCTGTCAGCCGCCCTTCCCGGTCCGGGGTCGTATGCTGATGTCCCCCGTGCACATGGCAGCGACAGCGGGTGCGAGAGCAGCGACGACGACTTCACCCGGCCCCTGCACTGAGGGCCTTGCTCTGAAATTAGATAGAAAATGCATGCTGAAGGAGTCACGATCTCCGTATTACCCTGAGAACATAGCTTCGCTTTTCCAAACGTCTCCGAGCGTCTTGTTGCCGGCTCTGGTCGTAGCCTCGCTTCGTCTAGAGCTAAACGACGTCGCTCTGGCGCTCTGCTCCTGAGCTGTGGCTTTCTCACTCCATCTCTTCCCTCCAACCCTTCTCCTTGATGCCATTAAAGCATGCGTTGTCCTCGTTCCTATCTTGCAAACTGACACAGCTGCGTAAAGTTACACCCGACACAGCAGGGATTCTCCACCAGCGCCTCAGGCCAGCGCATGCAGAGCACACATCCTTCGAACCCAACTGTGCCGCATGCAGAAGCCTGGCCACGACGCGATGCAGGCGCGCGGCTGTGGATGTCATCGTATTCGGTTATTCCATTTATGTATGCATGCATGCGTATTGTCTGCGTCGGACTGTGAGAGCCACCGTGCAGCGCTCCCCCTCGACGCACCATGGACCGAAAATGGCGAACGAACCGGGCGGCCATATTCACGGTGGTGCCGTACGCCGAGTACTGCTCCCGCATACTCCAGCGCACCGCGGAGTATGATCTGGCCACACCCTCAGATCTGTATGCCGTGTACACCGTGCTCCACATCGAGAGCAAGACGTCAGAGCTGCACTGGAGCGAGTCTGGGGGTTTCTACTACTTCCTGGCCACCTGGAGCCAGGCTCCAGAACCTGATCAGGTGGGGTATGATTGCCACCAAGCAGATTGCACCGTACATTCCCAGCCATGCACAGCAACGAATCCGCATTCCTGGCCTCCGGTTACCACCTCACCGTCGACAAGTTCCCCTAAACCCTCTCAGACGGCAAGTGCCGCACAGCCAGTGATGCAGGCAGGTGCGCCTCCAGCCCAGGGAAAAGAGGCAGCACCGTGCATGAGTGCGGACCAAGGAAGTGCTGGAGCCCAAGCACAGTGTGCCGTGGAGGTTGCCGCACACGATCGCAGCAGCGAAGCAAACGGTGCGGGCGCTGTAGGCGCAGTGGCCAGCCCCCTTACCAGCCCCGACGCAGTGCTCGTGGGCTCGCAGGCGGCAGACTCTAGACCCCCGCCTGCCCCAATCACGCGCTCCCAGATCATCGTCCCCGTCGGCAGCGCCTGCACCAGCCTCACGCCCGCCCTCCTGCAGCGCTTCTTCTCCATCCGTGGGGTGGCGGCCCAGCAGCTGCTGCTGGCCCTGGTGGATGGGAATGGCATGGTCTCGCGGACCTGCCTCTTCAACTACATCCAGGCACCCCTGGAGGGCCCCGGCACGGCTGACCTCGATCTCCTGGACGACTGACCAAGGCTCTGCGGCTTGCGTTCTAGCCCGGGAGTCTTAGCGGAAGACTGGAGCTCTCTTCTCACCCCAGCTCCCCCTTGACATACGAACAGCGCCACTTGACTGACAATGTAACCTTCAGACTACAAACATGGAGTCCTGCACCAAAGGAGGAGTGGCAGCTGGCAGCCCCTGCGTGCCAGGCTCGACCATACCCATACTCGGCACGAGTCGGAATCTTGCAGAAGATATGCACATCGGCGCAATCAAGCCTTGGGGGGTGTCCACGTCTGGTACTTGAGCCAGTTGCGCTTGTGCTCCTTGAACCAAGAGCCCTTGGGCTGGTACCTCGAAACTGTGGTGGTGGAGTTGCCCACAATGTTGGACGCATAAATCGGCGCCGTGAAGTCGTGCTGCACGGGTTGTTTTGCAAGGGGGGAAAGGTGGAAAGGGTGAGCGCACTGGCCTGACAAGGGACTACTCCTTGGAAGAGAGTTAGCCCAGCATCCTTGGCAAAACCTGGTTGAGACAGAAGCTGCCCCGTCCCTTCTCGCACACTCGACATGGCAACCTCTCACATTGGCAGGGTTGACGTCCACGCTGGCGTGCAGCCACCCGTGCCACTCGGCAGGGACGTTGGCCGGGTCCTGGCCCCGATAGTCCGAGGCCTTTGCATATACCACCCAGCGATTGCGGCCTGGGCACGACGGTATGCGAGGGGCCGAACATGGTTTGCCAAGCAGCCCAAGAACATTGAGCCCTGTACGCTGCTGCAGCGTTCACGAGGGCATGTGCTTGCATTGTGGAGGAAGGCGCTGCCCATCACTGGATTCGTCATAACCCCCCACCCTCCTCACCGACTTGGGTGTCCATCTTCTCAAAGTACCGATTCCCGTGCTTGTCCGTTCCCACGAGGGTTGCACCTGGCTGGTGCTCGACGAGTGTGCTCCTGGCATGGGCGGGCATCAGGGTGGCTTGATGAGTCGCGGGAGAAGGAGGAGTGGATGCCCAGGACTCCCAACCCCGGGATGATGCAGCCCGTAACGAGACCGACCCCGAGACCCTTCAGGCGCTCGCCGGCACCCATGAACTCACCCCAGGTTTCCATCAATCAGGACCTTCCACCCTCCATTGCTCACGGCCTCGCGCCATGTCTGCTTGCCCAGGCCCTGGGCCAGCGCCTTGGTGACGCCGCTCATGACAGCAGGGCGTCAGGGGCCAGCCTTGAGCAGCGGGAGACCCGATTACACAACAGGTTGTGCTATTATTCGAGTGGCACCCTGACAGCGTTCATTCGAGGTTTGGGATTGTGCGAGCACGCGTCGGGTTCCTTCGATTCACCGCCCCCCCCCCCCCCCCCCAAAACCGCTCACAATGAGAAAGAGGGACGCCGCGCCCAACGTGGTCTGATATCATGGGTCACCAGCAGCAGATCACGTCTGGCATACAGTCAAGGACCTGTCACGGTGACAAAGAAACACACCAGAGACATGTTCATACAGCGGTAGCCTGTCGTGGGGTTGGTGGTCTGGGGAGGTCTGAGCAGGGACCCCACCCCTCCCCGTCCTCGCGCTCAGGAGAGGGGGTCTGGCACATCCCAGGCAAAACCCACGGCATCCAGCTCCGCCACCTGCTCCGGCGTCAGCGCGCCGCAGCGCCGCGCTATCCTCTGCACGCTGCACCAGTTGGTGAGCAGGAAGGCGTCCGCGTCGGCGTCCTGCCCGCCTCCCAGGCCGCGGGCCCGCAGCCGCGCCAGCCAGCCGCGCCACTCGGCGCGCGCCGCGTCCCACTCAAACCCCGTGTCATCCAGCTGGCGCCGCGCGGCGGCGTCCAGCGCCGCCGCTGCGCTGCGCTGCAGGCCCGCCCAGCGGGCCAGGCCCGGGTCGTCCTGGGGGCGGCTGCCGCACAGCACGTCGCCATGGCGCACGGCGTAGGCCTCCAGCTCGGCGCAGCGCCGCGCCCAGTCGGAGTCGGCGGGGACGCCGTGGCCCCAGCCGGAGGCAGCGCGCGCTGCGTCAGTCCCCGCCCAGTCCTCGCCGCCCTCCACCAGGAGCACAGGCTGCGCGGCCGCGGCGGCCAGCACGTCGGCGGCGGGGGCGGCCAGCCGCATGTTGAGCAGGCGCTGGCGCACGCGACGCAGGTCCTCGGTCAGCAGGCGCGGCTCGCGCGCCGCCAGCCGGCCGACGTCCACGCCGGGGTGGGAGCCGGCGCCCAGCAGAGCGTGCAGGGCTCGCAGCCGGGCGGTCAGATCGAGCACCTTGGGAGGAGGGATGGGGTGCTGGTTTGGGAAAGGGGGAAGAGCTCGGGCGGGTACTGGCCTTCTGCGTCCTCCAGCGCCTGCTCGGCGCAGGCCAGAATTCAGCGCGCTGCTCCCACCGCCCCACGGCCGTCATGGCCGCCCCACCGCCCACCCACCTCCTGCCGCCGCGCCTGGAGATTCCAGAGCAGGTCCGCGCCGGGCAGGGCGCGGTTGAACCCGGGGGCATCCAGATCCAGGCTCGCGTCAGCCTCGTCCACCAGGTCGGACGCCAGGGCCAGCAGCCGGGAGCGGTCACTGCCGTGCACTATGCCCTGGCCCTGCCAGAATCGGTCCAGCACGGCCGCAAAGGTGCTGGTGCGGGAATGGAGCTCGCCAGCACCCTGTCCGGCACGACATGCCGAATTATACCGCGTTTTCGAGCTGTAGCGGGAGTGTAGGGCCGAGCAGAAGGCGCTGTGCCTCACACCACCGACTCGCGGCGTGAAGCACCCCGCCATGCGCGGTCGCCGAGTTTACGCGGCATACACGCTCATGCAAGCTGGAGGCGAGAGATCCGAGCAATCTCCAGTCCCATGCATGCTAATGGATTGAGAGTAGCCCACCGAGAGTCTGCCAGAGGCAGGCTCTTGTCGTGTGTTTGCCACTTGCACCGTGATCTGCATGACGGGACGGAGCCATTGGCGAAGAATCTAACCCTTCACCGCTTACCTTGGAACACATCACCAGACGTGCTCATGTGCTATATATGTGTCAATTGCATTTTGTTTGATTGATATTACATCCATATAGTTGCCAGTGGACGGGTCAAGGTCCCTTATGCTCCTCCGCCGGGCCCTGGCCGTGTGCCTTCCCACTCAGGCCCCCGTCACCACACAGCTACGCAATGCTAGCATGGCTGCCGAGCTGCCGCTCTCCCATTCCGCGGTGGTTTCCCAGTGTCGCGTGCTGACTCCCCCGAAAGCGAGTGCGGCGTGTCCACCCGCCTGGGCCCGCTCGCACACGAGCGACAAGTCCGCCCCTTCCAAGAAGTGCTGGGACTGCAAGGTGCCCGTGGACCAGCGCACGCCTCACTTCTGCGGCACCTGCAAGAAGATCCAGCCCCCCACCTACAGCGCCAACCAGTTTCAGATACTGGGCATGTGAGCTTCTCGTGTTGTGTGCTCAGAGGGGGAGACACTGGTTGTGGTGATTGGGGATGGAGGGTGCGGCTGACTGCTATTTTCTTGAACGAGGGGCCCGCCCCTCTCTGCGCCAAAGATCCAACACCTGTCTCCCTCCCCCCCCCGCACCTGGACCGCAGCCCCACGACCTTTGACGTGGACGCCGAGAGGCTGGAGGCACGGTACAAGGCGCTGCAGAAGGCGCTGCACCCCGACAAGTTCTCCACGGCCTCGCCCCAGGAGCAGGCCTTCTCGGACGCCCAGGCCTCGGCCGTGAACTCGGCCTACGACACGCTGAGAAGCCCGCTGCGCCGCGCCCGGGCCCTGCTGCGCCTGCAGGGCATCGAACCCGAGGAGAGCGCGGGCGTGGACGACCCCGAGCTCCTGGCCTACGTGATGGAGGCACGGGAGGAGGTGGAGGGTACTCGCAGCCGCGCGGGGCTGGAGACCTTGCTGAGGGACAACCGCGAGCGCGAGGCGGCGGCGGTGGCGCGGCTGCGCGCCGCCTTTGCCGCGGCAGAGTGGGCTGCGGCAGCGGAGGCGGTGAACCGCCTGCGCTACATCGAGCGCATCCAGGAGGCTATCAGGGAGAAGCTGTGAGGACTGGGGTGGGGGGAGTGCTGGGTGTGGAAGGCCCAATGCAAGTTTGAGTCCCGCCCTGGCATGGTCGGCTGCCTGTGCTCTCTCAGATTCTCGAGCCTGCGCTGGGCCTGGAATGAACCACTGACTTGTAACAGGAGTCATCGTTGCAGAGGGGGCTGGTGCGTCATGCAGAGGGTCAGGGATTCGGGTGGCTTGAAGGGTGGTCGGTATGACATCTGGAATAAAACGGAGGACTGTCGCAAGATGTCGGCAGGACAGCTCGGGCGGACCGCCTGCGGAGGGCCGCACGTTTCCTGGGCATGGGTGAACCGCGCAGCGCCTGCACACCCCTGTGCGCCCCCCGCGCGGCTCCCCTTGCCGCCTGCATTGTGCCACATGTCAGGCCGCCCTCACTTCCTGGCAGCTTCCACGTGCTCCTTCCGCCCCGCGTCCACCGCGGCCCGGAACTTGCCGACAAAGGCGGTGCGCTGCGGATCCAGGTTGTACGCCTCGAAGAAGGCGACCGCTGCGTCCTCCCACTGCTTCAGCCCCTCGGCCGCCAGACCCTCGCGGTACCATGCCTGGCCGAGGGGCAGGGGAAGGAGCGAGGCGGGGTGGATGGGGAGCGACAGCCAGGGCGGCGAGCAGCCTCTCCCACGCGTTACACCTCGCCCCTCCTCGCCAGGAAGGTCAGGCATGCAGCGCGGAGAGCGCCACCAGCACGCACCAGCACACCCCAAGGCCCCCTGGTCTTCCCATCCACGCTCGCACCTTGACGTAGCGCGGCTCGATGGTCCTTGCCACACGCGCGTCCGCTAGCGCAGACGCGTTGTCGCCCAGCTTGAGGAAAGCGGCGCAGCGATTGGCCCACACCGTGGCGTCCCTGCAGTGCAGGGGAGGAATCAAGGTAAGGGCAGGCCCAGGGTCGGATACCTGGACACCCTCATGTGGCCACTAGCCGCCGAATGGTGGGCTTGTGAACATATTGTACTGGGAACCTTGGGGCCCTTGCCCCAGGGCCACTTGCATGGGCGGTGCTCTGCAGCCCTGGCTGTCATGGACCCCCCCCCCCCACCAGTCAGACCCTCAGCCCCATGGCACACGAGAGCCCCTCCCCATTCGAGCCCTTCACACACCCCTCCCCCCCCAAGCGCCATGCATCCCAGCCCCTCACCCCGTGGCGTGGCGCAACGAGAAGCTGTACATGTCCACAGCGCCCTGAAAATCACCCTCCCCAAACGCGTCGGTGCCCTTGGCCTTGAAAGAGGAGGCCAGCTCCTCGCTGGGCTCCTCCGCGGCCGGCACCGTCACCTTGGCGCCGTGGCCCGGCTCCGGGGCTGCGGCGGCTGCGGCGGCTGGGCCGCCGCCGGCGGCCTTGCGCGCGGCCTGGCGCTCGGCGTCGCGCGCGGCCACATCCCGTTCCAGCGCGGCCGCGGCCTCCTCGAGCGCCGCCTCGCTTTCCTCGGGCCGCTGCAGGCGGAGGAGCAGGCGCACAGCGGCGCCGCGCTGCCAGGAGGCCGCCAGCTCGGCGGGGGTGTTGCCCGCGCCATCGCGCGCGTCCAGCGGCGCCCCGGCCTCGCACAGCGCGGCGACGAGGCCCTCGTCTCCGCACTCCGCTGCCACGTGCAGCGGCGTGTAGCCGTTGGAGCTGGCCGCCACGTCGGCCCCCGCGCGCAGCAGCGCGCGCACGCAGGCCAGCGAGGCAGCGGCCGCTGCCTCGGCCTCGGCGGCCGCGCCGCCGGCGACGCGGCGACCGTGTGCTGCGGCGGCCGCCAGGAACAGCGCGGTCATGCCGTTGGCGGAGCGGGCGTTGGGGTCGGCGCCCGCGCGCAGCAGGGCCTGCACCGTCTCGGCGTGCCCGCCGCCGGCCGCCCAGAAGAGGGGGGGCCCGGAGCCCACATCCACTCCCAGGTCGGCGCCGGCGGCCAGCAGCAGCTCCACCGTGGCGACGCTCCCGGCCGCGGCGGCGCAGTGCAGGGGCCCCGCCGTGCCTGGGCGGGAGGGGTGGGGCCTGGCGCCGGCGTCCAGGAGCAGCCGGGCCGTGGAGGCGTGGCCCCCGGAGGCCGCCAGGGCCAAGGGCGTCTCGCCTGGGGAGCATGGTGAACGGAAGTGTGGGCGCCGAACCCTCAAGTGCCAGATCGGGGGCCTCCACCTGCTGCACATGTGCCGATCACCTTCCAAAAATCCAGACGCAACCATCTAGCACCTTGATCTCGACCATGGGAGGCACAGGAGCACCAGGGAACCCCTTGCACAGATGACACCTGTTCGAGCACTCGGCCCCAGCCATGCAAGCCGACCAGCTCCCCCGCCACACACACAACTCTAACCCCCGTCACCTGCTTCGTCCTCGGCGTCAACCTTGAGATCGTGCTTCTGCACCAGGTAGTCTGCAATATCGTCCTGGCCCTTGGAGGCAGCAGCATGCAAGAGAGTGCGGCGCCTGGCGTCGCCGATTTCGCCCAGCTTGGTGCCTTTAAGAGGCGCCGTCCCGGCCTCAAACTCTGCGAGTGGTCCTGTTGCCGCCAGAGCAAACAGGCGCTCGGCTGCCTGCAGGACCTTCACTCCCTCATCCTCCTGGGAAAGCGGCATGGCCTCCTTCGGGCTTGGGGTGTCGGATCGCGGGAGTGACTCGAGAGGCGGTACGAAAGGAGTGTGTGGATCAACTAGACCATGGCATTGACGCGTGGGTGAAACAATTGGCTGCCTGGGTTGTTATGACGCCATCCCTACGTCTTCCTTACTGGAGAGCCCGCGCGCGATGCCACGCGTTCCTGATCCTTCCTCCGGTCCCGGGTTCTCACAAATTAAAGGGCGCATGGCTCGATCAAAGCAGCTGATGCAGGGAAGAAAACTTCAAATACATTGGTATGGTACATGAGGGGGGATGGGGGCGTGTGCCTGGAGCCCTGGCCACACAGGGGCCCCTCATTCCCCCGGGGGACGCAGGACGCCTGCGGGAGAGTCCTGGCCAAGACGACTGAGCGCGAGATCCCCTGCTGGCGGGTCAGGGCCGCTCCGCGCTCTCCTCCCCGCCGGCATCCGCGGCCCCCCTCCTGGCGTCAAACTCCAGGGCCCGCAGCTGCCAGCCCACGATCGCCAGCCAGTAGAGCTGCTCAGCCAACTCAGCGGCCACGCAGTCGCGCGTGCCCGAGCGCCAGCTCCCGCCCCGGCCCCCGCTCTCGCCCATGGAGCGCTGCACCACGCCAGTCATGGCCTGCAGCGCGGCGGGGCTGGCCTGCCCCGTCAGAGCGCCGTCCGCGCGGCGCACAAAGTCCAACAATTCGTGCCCGGGCGGGCTGCGCGGCGCGGCGGCAGCCGCCGCGCGGTGCTGCTCCACCTCCCGCTCCAGCTGGCGGATGTACTCGCTGGCAGGCATGCTCTCGCGCCCCGCCGCCAGGTGCCAGCGCAGCACCTCTCCCGTCACCCCCAGCTGCTGGGAGCCGCGGGCATAGCCAGGGTCCGGGCCGGCGCCGGGGGCGGCGGGCGAGCCCTCGCGCCCCGGCGGCCGGTACTCGTCGTCATCCATGCTGTGCACACTGTCCATCAGGGTGCGGTGGTGGGGGGCCACGATGGGGGACCCTGCCCCCAGCCGCTCGTTCAGGCACAGCCTCTGCCACGCGCCGTGGTACATGTAGCCTGGGTGCAGATGGGAGGTGAGCGAGGGGGGAGGAAGCATGTGAGGAAGGACAGCGACAGGAAGTAGCCGGTATTAGGTCCTAGCGAGGATTTCAGTCCACCCACACACCCACGTGAAAGAGCAACATTCACCGTGGACAGAGCATGACATGCATCCCAGATCCCGCCGCACTGGACCAGCAGACTCGTGGCAATCGCATGTTCCCCACCGCCTCCCCCACCACCTCCCACCTGTCATGAGGGTGCTGAAGAGCAGGAGCGCCATCTTGGGGGCGCTGGTGCGGATGATGACGTCAAAGGAGGAGGAGGGGAGGTTGCCGACCAGGTTGTTCACCGTGGTCCGCAGTGCATGCTGCACGGCCAGTGGCGCCCAGGCGTCAAAGGCTGCCACCTCTTCCATGGACACCTTGTGGGCATACTGCAGCAGCGGGCAATCAGTCGCAGACTGTGGAGGGGGTTGTGGGGAAAGATGGGGTGATGTGGAGTGCTGTCCTTTGACGCGTGCCTGGCATAGACCCGGGGACCTGTACCATCCAACCCATCATGCCACGCAGCAACGGCTGCATTCACCCATCGCCCGGCATGTCCCACCCTTTGATCCCCGGGCGCGTGATGAACACGCACCGTCCCGGTCTCGCTGGGCGGGAGCTCCTCGGGGACTCCGAGGCTCCATGATGCATGCACCGTCAGGAGCCTCGCTCGTCGAGGCCTGCGCACGGGCTCCCACGTAACATTCGCCGGGGTGGCCCGGTGGGACAAGCTCCACCGCATGCAAGGTCCCGTCAGACCACATGTGAGCGCCATGGTTCTCGCGGGCGTCTGAGCGCGTGAGGAGGGGCCGGATGACGACGGACGCGTGGTGGTCCAGAGATACGAATGGGGCCACTGCTGGCGCCAGCGGTCGCTGTTTGCAAGGACAGACCGGCCCACTGACACGTTCCGAAGGCTGCTTATTCCGGTGCGTGCGAGCTTTCCGGGCTTCCAGAGGCGATGAAGACAGAGGGCGCGAAACTTTGATGAGGATTTTGGTACCTCGGATCCCAGCACGGAACTCAAAATCAAGCTTTGAAGGGTACTGCGGGCTGCGATTCGGCGAAGTATCCGCCGATCATCCTCGCCCTGCTCGTACTCATGGTCTGCTCTTCAAAAGCCCTAAACATTCGAAAAGGACCGGGATATCCCCAGCGCGACTGCTTTTGCTCCCTTCAAGGCTTTCTTGAGCCACCCGAAGCGAGGTGCAAGTGCCTGCCCTTACCCCCAAAAACACATCGGTATGTTGTTACTACAAAAGATAAGCATCAGCCATGAATAAATACGTCGACCCACTGTCCCGCGACGCGCCCCATGCTCGACCTGCGATTCAATATTCAGCGCCTGCCCCCCGCCCCCTCCGGCCCGACAGGTTTTGGAGCCATGTCGGATCCCACACGCTCCTCCTTCTATCTCCCGGCTCAAGATGCCAGCGAGGCCGATGTTCCCGGCGTCAAGAAGAAGAGCTTCAGTAAGAAGATGGCGAAGAGCTTCAAGGTGGGCGTGATGGGGGCGCGGTCTCAGGTGTCGACCGATCGAGCCAGATCACTCGACCGCGGCTGCCTGGCTGTCCCTCACCCCCATCGACACCAGCAGTCGAGATCTAGATTCCCCCTCGCATCAACACAGCCCCCTTTGCGCTGTACCACGATTGCAGAAAATGGGATCGCAGGTGAAGGAACTCATGACCCCTCGCGGCAGCAGCCTCAGCGGCGACCTGTCCCCCGCACCCTCCGCCAAGTCTGTGGAGGGGACCTCCAACAGCTCAACCATGCGTGCCATCCTGGGCCGCACCTCCAGCGGGCCCAAGAAGGCTGCTGCTCAGTCCAACGGCCCTTCCAACGGCGCTGCCGGGGGCGAGGGGCCCAAGGCGGCGCCCATAGCCACGGCCAAGAGCGCGGGGTCCGGCCTCCTTGGCGAGCCCAGTCTGGAATGGTCGTCCGGCTTCTCAGGGGTGGGTGGTGGGTGGTCGTGGGCGGAGCAAGAGGTCTGCGCTCGCTGATGGGGGTGGCATTGCTGCTCAAGGTTGGCAGGGAGGGTGCCATTCCATCACGCGAGGCTACCTCTGGGTGAGCACTTGGCCATGATGGGCGCAGGAGGGCTGAGTGCCCGGCCTGCCCATGTGCAGTAATGCCCCGCCCCCATATTTCCACCCTCAGCGGTACCAGCCTTCCAAGAAGACAGCGCCAGCGGCGCCCAGCGCCAAGGCTGGTGAGCGGGGGTCTAGCAGCAATCAGCACCTACTTTTGTGAAGGGAATCGCCTGGCTGTGACACTGTAGGCCCATGCCATGCACTGGCGGCGCGCTGGCCCACTGTTGCCCAGGGCACAGAAGTCCGCCTGGCATGCAGTCCTGAAGCCCCTGCCCTGCCCACCCCCCCACCTGTGGACAGGGGCTGAGGTCTCCGAGCAGGCCAAGACGCCGGCGCAGCCTGCCAGTCCCGTGAAGGCGGAGCCTGCCCCTGCCCCTCCCCCGCCGGCACCCGTGCAGCTTCCCGCCGCCCCAGCCATCGCTGTGACGCAGCCTGAGTGCAAGGAGGAGGTCAGTCTGACTTGTGCCGTCGCCAGCATGCACGGCGTGGGGAGGTGCACCTCGGCATGGTGGTGGACCAACACAGGAACAGCCCTCATCAAGCCTCGCATGCCTCGTGCAGGTCCAGGTGACCATCCGCGCTGGTCCAGTGGAGGGCAAGCCCAGCCCCGCCCTTGCCTCGACCAATGTCAAGGTGGAGGTGCGGACTGACCCCACAGTAAGGGATGCGTCAGCCAAGCCCGTCAAGGCGGCGCTCGCCCCATCCCCCGTCCCCGCAGCGGCCACCGTCGTGGAGACGCAGGCCCCGGCCGTGCGCCCCGGCACCGTGGCTACCGCCAGGCCGAAGCAGGCAAGGCGTGAGAGCGGCCTCGGGGGTGCCCTGCGCGGACTGGTCTGGCTGGGAGCCGCCACGGCCATCGGCGTCCTCGCCGCCAAGCAGGCGCCCGCTCTGCGCCGTACCCCTGCTTCCAAGAGGGAATGATCTGGCGGCCCTCCCCATTGAGGCTGGAATAGGCTTGGGCCTGGCCACTGTTTGGACTGCCAGCGGCCCAACCCCACTGCCAGCGGTCTCCTCGTCCTGTCCCAAAGCAGGGGTAGCACGCCTTGTAGTTCCTGGCGCAGTGCTACAGAAGTGGCACCTGGGCTCCTGGCTGCCTCCTGTCCCCTGCTGCTTGGTTTGATATTAGGACGAGGGCACCAGTGCCCCTGTCATGCGTCCTCTGATCTATGACCCGGCTGAACATTGCACCGTGCCCCCTGTACCCTACTCGTCGAGCCGCACTCTCCCCCCACCCTGCATCCCCCGCCCTGCGGGCGTCTGGTTGAAAGTCCTAGCGCGAGTCACGGGCGGGTGCGTTCGGGGGCACTTGAGCAGGCCAGGGAAAATGTTGATCACGTGGCCGGGGGCAGGAAGCGGATGGCCGGCGGGCAGGGGACCTCGGCCAGCGGCGCTCCAGCCGGCGCTGCAGCCAGGCCGGCCGCCAGCGCGACGAGCGCGGCAGCCTGCGCCGCCTCGCTCTCGAAGTCCGCCTGGAGGACGCCCTCGCTGGTGCGGAGGAGCAGACTGGGCCAGTTGCTGTCGCGGGGGACGAGCACGCTGAGGGTGCGTGGGAGGTTGGATGGTGAGACTGGAATGCGGGGGGTGTTGTAAGGGGGTTGGGCGGGCTCTGGAGGCACCAGGCGCAGCAGGATTGGAGGTGAGGTACAGAATCTCCTGGTGCCAACACCACAAGTCCACATGTTCCCGTCACAGCACAGCATGCCTGTGGAATGTCATGTCCCTCGAACGTGCCGTGCCAGCATGGCCGGGTCCAGGCCGCGATCACCCTCCCCGGTCTCAGCAGTGCCCTCACCCGTCGATGCCAAACCAGCGTGCGCTCCTGAACCAGCCTCGACGGTAGCCGACCTGCCGCCGGCGCGGGCCCTCCCCGCCGTCGCCCACCCTGAGCCGCAGGCGGCGGCTGGACCCCTTGCTCATGCCCGCCGTGCGCGCCCAGCGCTTCCACACCCTCGCGCCCCGAGCGGTCATCGCCCGCAGCGCCTCGGCCGCCTCGCGGCGGCCGCCGCCCACGGCCAGGAGGGCTGCCGCCCAGTCGGGGGAGGCGCCCAGCGGAACCGGGCGGGCCTCCTGGGGGCGCGCGGCAGGGCCGCCGCGCGGCAGGGCCGCGCGGCTGGCGCCGATGTTGGAGGGCGTGGGGTGCAGCGTGGGGTCGCTGCCGTCCGCGGCCAGCCACGCGCTGGTGCTAGGCAGCTCCAGGCCCGTCACCAGTGGGCCGAGGGGCGGCCGGGCATGTCTGGAAGGATCCGCAAGAGCGGCGTCTGGGCCGGGTGCCAGGAACGGTGGCCGGCCTGCATGGGCCATGGGGGAGTCTGGGTCCTGGGCGTCCCCGTCTCCGGCGCCCGCACATGCGTCGGCTCCCCCCGCATCGGCGTGCGGGGCGCCGCTGATCGGGGCGCAGGCCCCACCGGGAGGCGTCCGGGCGAGCCGTTCGCCGCCCGGCGCAGGCCCACCATCGCCGGCTCGCGTTTCAGGCGCGGCAAGAGCCGCGCCGCCATTACTGGCAGGCACCTCAAGGGGCCGGGGTCTGGCGGGGGCCTGAGGAAGCCTAGACCCAGGAGCGCCCGCTCGCGATACCCCACCGCGGGTGCCTGGCGGTGGCGCTGTCTGCGCGTGCCGGAGCCGAGGATTGGGGCCGGGACGGCCTCCATCCGAGCGCTCGGCAGCCTGCGCCATGACGAAGCGGGTGGCCCGCAGGGGGGGCGCATTTGTCGCCTCCCCTGGGGGAGCCTGTGAAAAGGGCGGCGAGCAGGCCTTGGGGGAAGGCACATGCGAGCCAGCGACTTTCCTGAGACATCCATGCTGTGTCCTTGGGTTGTGAGATTGGCCTGGGACAGCCTCCACCAAACAGACCCTCCCAGCAGCCAGCACTGGAACGACTTCAATACCCACAAGGCTCGGTTCTAAGCCAGTCCTCTCCACCTTCAGTAGTACATGCCGACACAATCTCACCTTGCGTTTGGCTGGGGTGCTGTTGGAGGGGATGGCGGGCTTGGCAACAGGTGGCTTGGGGTGGAAGACCTGGTTGCGCTGCGGTGCTACTTTTGGCTTGGCGGCATGGGCTCGGCACTGCAAGGGATGTTGAGGGAAGGACCGATGTAAGCTGCTGGTGGAGTGGAGCAGCACCAGCTCAGGGGAGATTGCTAGGCCCCAGGCGGCACTGTCTAAGAGTTCCAGGTGTGCACGTAAGTACACAGGCCCTTGGTTATAAATCCACTCCCATACAATCAAACATCGATGAAGATCCACCTCCATCGGCGAATCTCACTACACATCCTGCGCCCTCCTCCCCCTCCTCCCTACCACGCCCGCTTCACCGACCGATTCCATCTTGGCGACGAGGCGTCGCCTTTCAGCTTCCAGATCCAGCTGCTTGGCCGCCAGGGCGCTCTTCTTCTCAGCCTGGAGCCGCTGCTGGGCCAGAGACTGGCGCACTGGGTACCGCTGCTTCCTGGCAGTTAGCACCTCGGGGAGTGGGGGTGCTGCCACAGGCTCCTGTCGCTCTGCGGGGCCTGATGCCGGCTCATCCTGGAGGCTGAGTGAGTCCAGGGCTCTGGCGAGGTCGGCGCTAGGGTGCCAGGGTGTGTGCAGGGGCTGGCTGGGCGTGGGAGCAGGCTCCAGAGGAGCAAGATCTTGTATCTCGGCACCGGATAGGGCAGGGATGCGCCACTCCCCACTGGTGGGTGGCACTGTGGGGGCGGGTCGAGGTCCTGCTCTGCCACCCTTGGTGGGACTCTGGAATTGCAACAGAGTTGGGAGGGTGTGGGTATCAGCATGGTATCCTGAATGTGAGTGGATATTGGGTTTTTGAAAGCTCAAATTCTGTCCAACCTCGCCCTGTACTCACCGAAAACGCTTGTTTCGAGCTGGGCCCCGCTCCATCTCCATCACGCGGGGTGGGAATGCCGTACACGGACTGTGATCGTTTGGTGAAGTGGGGTTTGGCAATAATAGGAGCCGCACGGCATCTAGTTTCCGAGACATCTCATAACCCTCCAACACACCCGAAGAGTCTTCAATTCCATTAAAACTGCGTCTGCTCTGCCCAGAGCCTGCTGCAGGCTGGTCCCCAAGTCCACCGTACTCAGGTCGAGCTTGGGAACTCGCTCCCCGGCGCCGAAGTCCGACGCCTCGTCCATAGTCACCGATCAGTATCTCGAGTCGCGAGCATCATCGACTAGACGACCACCTCCACCGCCATGGCAGTGCGAGGAAGAATGATCGCTTGTGCGGGGTGGTTGCCCGTGTCGGGGCTGTTACTCGACGGTTTGGATGCCGCGCCTCACGCGCAGCACACCGCCCATGCATGTATGGAAGGGCAGAAACGCAGCACGCTGCAGAGAGCCACTAGCTCGAGTGGCTTGGCGTTTGGCATTATGTGCGGTGTTAAATAGTATCCTTGGAATCAGCACAGCCTGGTTACGGGGCTAAAAGGCGCACAGCACCTGCCGCCACTGCCACCTCCGGCCAGCCGCGCGCGCACGGCAGAGCTCCGCGATGCCGAAGAGCAAGCGGAATAAAGTTGGTACGTATGACAGCTAACCCTGCAATGCTTGCATGCCATGGGCCCACAATAAGCGACCCGTCCCTCTCCGCAAATTCCCTTCCTGCAGTGTCGCTGACAAAAGTCAAGAAGAAGAACAAGGAGTGGAAGGAGGGCATCATAACACAAACTCGCAGCTACCTGGATGAGTGAGTGAGGAGCAGGCTGGGAGGTGTGCACCCGTCCCCCAAGCGCATCAGTATGTCGCAGGGAGCACCAGAACCCAGTGCCGTGACCAACCTGGATCCATTTGCCGTTGTGTTCTGGATGTCCCTGCTCCCATCATCCTCACATCGAGCGACTTCCAAACCCATTTCTACCTCCTCTGCTCAGGTATGCCTCTGCCTACCTGTTCCGGTACCAGAACTTCAGAAACGACAAGTTCAAGGACCTGAGGGAGGAGCACCGCGCGACCAGCCGCTTCTGCCTGGGCTCCACCAAGATGCTGAAGGTGGCCCTCGGTGCCGATGAGGCCAGCGAGCACACCCCTGGCAGCTCCCAGCTGGCCTCCCACATGCGCGGCAGCATGGGCCTGTTCTTCACCAACCTTCCCCGCGAGGAGGTGGGTGGTGGGGGCCTGGCTGCATGCAGGAGGGGCATTTCTCACAGCAGGGGGCCGTTTCATGGTTCTATGGTGGATGGCGGCTGGCAGCCTTCTACGTCGGGGGACCTACAGCACCTCTGCTCTTGTGCGCGCATGCCACCCCCCTCACCATCCACTACCACTTCTTCTTCTTACCAGGTGACGTCCATCTTCGAGGATTTCGAGCACGCAGACTTTGCGCGCGCCGGCGCGCGCGCCACAGAAGACTTCAGCCTCGAGGCTGGGCCCCTGACGCTGTACGGCGAGCCGCTGGCGCACACCCTGGAGCCGACCCTGCGATCGCATGGCCTCCCCACCAAGCTGGACAAGGGGGTAGTGACCCTGGTGGCAGACCATCTGGTTTGCCGAGCGGGCGACAAGCTGAAGCCCAGCCAGGTGAGGGGTGGAGGTGGACAGGCAAATGCCAGTGAGGTGGGGGAACAATCCCGCTGCACTACAGCGCTCGTGCAATTGGCAGCAGGCGCCCTGCTTCCTTGCTCTCAGAACGACCCCTCCTTTGGGCCCCCCTCTACCAGGCTGCCATCCTGAGGATGTTTGACACCCGGCAAGCGGTGTTTGGCATGACATTGCTGGCCGTGCTGGCTGATGGGGTGGTGGAGATCCTGGACGAGGCTGCGCTGAATGGCGAGGAGAGCGCCGAGGAGGAGGAGGGCCCCCTTTTCCCGGAAGATGGAGCCTGAGCATGTCAGTGAGGGCGAGCCTGGAATCGGACCACTGCTCAGCCGCACACACTGCACCTATGAATCGTGCCCTGCCCTTCTGTCCCTGACATGCTCACAGTCCTGCTCCTTGTAAACCCTGCTTCTGTTGGATGCGACTGGGGTACTCACATGCCACACGGGCCAGGCAAGTTCGAGTACCATGGTGCCGCGACTTCTCCCTGTCAGCTCTTCTTGAACCTCTTCTGCCTGTGCTGGTGCTTGCCTGGAGGAAGGGGAGCATGAGGGAGCTAGGTGAGAGTGTTCCCACTTGGTACCCCCCCACAGCACGGTATTATTGAAGGCAGTGGCGGGGGCAGTGGCCCTTTGCGCTGCAGCTCAGCTTCCAAGGTGCCTGCCACGTGCAGACTCCGCTTGCCCGCCCATGCATTGGGCATCTGTTGCAAGGTGCTGTACGTGCCAGGCCCCTGTCCCCAGCCCACCTTTTTCGTTCCCCGCTTTCCTCGCGGTCCAGCCAGGCATAGGCGCGGCCCGAGCCCGCCCCTCCACCCTCCCTCCACGGTCCGGCACGGCCCCGATGCGCACGGATTTGACCCAGGCGCCGGACCCCGCGCCGCTGGTGGCCGCGTCCATGATGGAGTAGAGGTCGCCGAGGCGGGCGGCATGCACCTCGTCCAGTGAGACGACGGGGTCGGGCGGCATGGCAGCCAGGGCGGCGTCGATGCTGACCTCGCAGGCCTTGGCCTCCGGCTCCTGGCAGGCAGGGCAGCAAGATGGTCGTGTGGAAAAGGAGCCTGGGACCTTTGCCGACCAATGTGCGCTGTGAGACCCATGAGCTGCCACAGCACCTTTGCCAGGCTGCTACCCGGTGCAGGAGGTTGGTGCTGCCGTGACAGGCCACCCCTCGCATTCAGCACCGCACAACACACAGCCACTCAGTCATGCCCAAGTCACATGTCAGGACAACCCCTTCTGTCCCGCATGCACGCGAGATGGTAGCTACCCTCCAATCAACACCGCCATGCCCCAACACCCAAACCTCTCACCGCCCCACCTCCAGCCTGTCGGACCAGAGCAGCGAGCGCAGCGTCACTGCCGCCCTTTCCTTGAGCATGGCGCGGCGCAGCGTGTACTCTGAGCGCAGCGCGGCGTCCACCTCGACCAGCGCCGCGCGCAGCGTCTCCCCCTCCGGCCCTGGCAGGGCGGGCAGCAGCGGATCAAAGAAGCCGGGGGGAAGCTGGGCGGCAAGCGCCTCCACGCGACCCGCGGCCGCCTCCGCGAGCGCGACGGCGCTGGCGCCACCGGCGTCGGCGCCCACCAGCCGCCCCAGCGCGCGCAGCGCGGCGGACATGACCACCGTGGCATCGGCAGGGTCCGCAGATGGCGTCGCCTCGGTCGCGCCAGACGCTGTTGTCCCATCCACAGTCTTTGACTCATCCGCCGACTTCGCCACGTCTGTCCTTGCCCCGCCCACAGCAGCCTCGCCTTCGTTCAGGAGGGCGGCGGCCTGCATGAGGCTCACCACGGCGTCCAGCGCAGCAGTGCGACCGCCGGCCTGGACCCCTGGCGCGAAACCGGGGTCAAGTGCCTGGGCCAGCCTGCCGAGGGCAGCGTCCAGGCGCCCGCCCCGAGCCGCCGCCTCCGTCTCCGCCGCCGCGCCCAGGGCCAGGACAGCGCGCTGTGGAGGGGCCAGATGGTGGAGCACTGAGTCTAATGAGGCCGGACGCGCCAGCAGGATGGACGTGCATCCTGCCGGCAAAACCTCGTCCAAGGCCCTTGCGCACCTGCAGAGCTGTGTGGCTGTGGATGGTCAGGTGATGCCTCAGCGCCCAGACACGCTGTGCTAGCTGGACGCATGCTGTGCGCAGGGGCTCGCGTGCGCTCGTGGAACCGGTGAGGTCATCCTCCGTCAAACCAGCCGCCAGCCTGCGGGGTGGAGGGGTGCTAGGCGCATGAGCCTGGTGGCAGGACCCTTCCCACCCCCTCTCATGGGTGCATGATGTTCCGGGGGCCTTTGCCGTCACAGATTTGGACTTGATCTGTGCAGCCTGAGGTGTTTGAGCCCGGTGTGGGATTCGATGTTCCTCTCGCCGAGTCGTGCGCTGCCAGGACTCAGGCAGGCACCGCCTTTTACCACGGCGCGAGGTGGGGAAGCAAGCAGCCTGCGGTCGTCGACCCAGCACGCCCTACCCGCAATCTTCGAGTCGATCCAGGAGGTCCACAGCCTGAGCCTCCATGGCGAGCTCAGCGGTGGCCGGCAGGTCGAGTCGGAGGCGACAGGACAGAGTGGGAGTGGAGCGGTTCAAACTCAGCGTGTGATGTCTTTTCTCCAAAATTCCCCATCGGAATATGCTTGTGCCACAGGGAGGTCGGCAAGGGTCTTCCATGCAGCGCTCTGGCCTGCATGGTTACGTGGCAACTGTGTGGTCCCCGAATCATGTGGGTCGCTCCTCTGTGCCGGCTTTGCTCTTTTGGCTCGATAATATTCCACGAGTTTTACACTTCTCACACAGTATTTGAGACACCAAGTTGCTCACCAGTTCTCCCACGGCGACTTTGCACGCAAGGTGCTCTACCTCTCCAGGGCTTCCTCAGACGCCATTCACCCACAACAGCCGCTTGACCACAGAGATACACCATGCCTCCTCCTCTATTTCCCTATAAGAGGCCGTACTTTCAGCTGGCTCTGACTCCTGCTGAGATCGAGGTGAGAGGGGCTACCTAGGCGTCACTGTCCTGACAGTGAACGTCGAGGACTGCGATGAATTGTGCCGTGATGCTCCTTCTGTCCTCTGGCATGCTAAACTCCTCAATGAGGAATGGTGAGGCTCCAAGTGCTGTGGAGCATGCATGTTCCCTCGTTCCAGTGGCACGTTCATATGCCTCGGTCACAGCGGTCACGGAGACTTCACCGTCAACTCGCAGGAGGATCTGGCTCACATCATCACACACACCAAGCGGAAGAGGAAGGTGGGACCGGCGACCAACGGTAAAGAGGGTTCAGGATGAGGCCTCCGAGCTTTCCCCCGAACCCTCGAAAGGAGCTGGTCAACTTCCATGCCCACTAGCCCCATCTGGAGGTGGGGGCCTCATGCAGTGGCCCCCCTTGCCAGGTTGCCGAACCTCAAACGAGTCCTCCTGCACAGTCTTCATCGAACTTCCTTGACCGTGACTGTGTCGTAATGCCCTGTAACCTGCTCCATGTCGACAAGAAGGTTGCTGAGCAAAGAGGGCAAGACAGCGCCGAGCCTCATTCTCGACGCCCTTACCCGTAAAGCCTCAAGCGCCATCAGCCTCAGACTGGGTTACAAATCTATTTCGTAGCAAGAAAAAGGAGCTTTGAAGCAAGGGGATGAGGGACACAGTGTCAGCACGGATGAACTTCCTACACGCTGTAGCCAGCGACATTGCCGCCGCGGCCGACGATCTCGCCGACGCAGAACCATGCGAAGACCTCCGCCGCGAAACCAGCATACATTGCCGCCTGTGGATGGACGAAGATGGATTGAGCGGCATATCAATACCGGATATGTATTTCTATACAGGCATTAGGGAGCCATTGTCTCCAAGCGCACCATGGTTTGCCCTGGCTGGCAACCCGCGACAGCAGTGCTGTTCCTCAGCCTGCAGGGCACTACCCTCGCTTTCCACTACCACGACTGACCTCTGTCACGGGAAGGTCGCGCCACTGCCCCAGACGGTGCCTCGCTGCAGCGGCCTCCTTCTTGCAGGTGGCGATGCCCTCGGGAATGCTGCAGGGTGGGGGTCAGAGAGGTCCCTGAAATGTCCCTGTGGCGTGGCGACCACGGCTGCATGCATGCCCACCGCCATGCAACTCCAGCGCCTCACCTGGCCAGCTTGGTGAATGTGTACTGCTTCAGCAGCTTGCTGGCCTGCTCAGGGTCCTTGACCACGTACTCGGAGTTCTTGGACAGCAGGCCGTCGTACTGCTTTACCACCTCCTTGCGAGCGGTGGAGTAGATCGGGGCGACCGTGGACTTGGCCTTGCTGACCAGCTGCTGCACCCGGGCGGCCATGTGGGCGAGGGTCGGGGGTTGGGGTGGGGGCACGGCCCGGGCTGGCTCGGGGAGGCGCAGAGGCGAGGGGCTGAGCACCAGGGCTACGGGATCCGGGCCAGCAACGCAAACGGATTGAGGTTTGGAGGCGGTGGGATCCATGCTTCCCACATTCCTTCCGCACGGGCTTCCCTGCGCCCGTCCGCGCTGCGTTTTCCATGCTCGCGCTTTCTACTGCATGGTATTACTCATCATGCACAAGCTACTATGATCCGAGGGCCAACCGAAGGTTTGCTGGGTGTGTTTACATTGGTCTGGAGAGCAAGCTTTAACACCACGCGCAGGCCAAAGAAGTCTTGCCAACCAGGGACAGAAAGTCCTCCAGCCAGATGGTGCTTCAGGGCCCTTGCCTGGGTGGGTGTTCCATAGGGGCGGGGCCATGCCCACTCCGCCACCCTTCGCCATCCATGCTATGGCTGTATTACACGCCTGCGACCGCCATCAGGCTTCCAGGTTGGGCACGATGGTGCCGTGGCGGAGCTCTCCCGCATCCACAATGACTGCCCCTGCGTCGGGGCCCGCCGTATTCTCCGGCTGGCCCTTGGACAGCGCGTTGATGGCGTCCACCACCTCCAGCCCCGCCACCACCTGGCCGAAGATGGTGTAGGAGCCGTCCAGGTGGGGGGCGGGGCCCATCATGATGGAGAAGTGGGCGGTATTGGTGTTGGGGCCCATGTTGGCCATGGACAGCAGGCCCTTGCGGGTGTGGTGCAGGGCCAGGCCGCCGGCATCGTCCCTGAACTGGCCGCCGAAGACGGACTCGGTGTTGATGCCGGACTGGTCGATGAAGGCGTCGATGATGCGGTAGAAGGACGCGCCCTGTGCGGGAAGGGTTGGGTGGTTGGGGTGATGACTGTGGAGAGGGAATTGAAGCTGTCGGTGAGTGGGCAGGGGAGGGGCATGGAGGAACACGGGACTGGGGCGTGGGTTCCCGTGGCCGCGAGAAGGTCACCGTCGGCGTGCCGATCGATGGAGCCCGGGCTGGCCTTGCGAGAGGGTCATTGTCCTTGAGACCATTTGGGCGGGCACCCCGGCAGGCCACGGCGAGCGGCCCAGCACTGGCTCCCAGGTCAATCACAGCCTCCAGTGCACCCCACCAAAGCCCTCCGAGTCGAATCGCGAGCTGCCTAGGACTCCTCGCACCCACCTTGAAGTGGTACGCCATGCCTGCCCCCTCCCTCCCCTCCGGCACGGTTCCCTTCTCCCCCGTGCACAGCTGCCGGAAGTTCTCGGCGGAGCGGGGGCTGACGTCCGGGAAGAGCACCGCCTCTATCCGCCCCTGCGGCGTGCCCTTGATGGCCACGTCCAGGAAGACGAGGGGCAGGGAGGCGTTGGCCCGCAGGGCCGCCAGGCGCGCCGCCTCCGTCTCCTGCGCCTGCTTGGCGGCCAGCAGGGCCGCGGCGCGGTCCACGGCGGTGGCCACCGCGCCGGAGGACCAGCCCAGGGCCTCGGAGCGGGAGCCGGCGGGGCGGGCCAGGTCCAGTGTGCGCGCGTGCTTCAGCCAGCAGGTGCCGGTGAGCTGGTCGCCGCAGCCCGCCGCCGAGTGGCAGTACACGTACACGTTGCAGGCCGGCAGGGCGACGCAGGCCGCACAGCAGGCGTCCATCGACTCCTGGGCGGGGAGGAGGGAGGGGGTTGAGGGGAGGTGGGGTCCGCGATGGGGCCATGCTCAGTGGTAGAGGCATTCCAGGGGGTGGGCGTCGAACTGAGGACCACGCACCACGACTTGGCTCTGCAGCGCCTCCTCGCCGTAGTAGTCGGCATTGGCCTCGGGGAAGCAGAGGCGTGTGCTGGCGGACAGCGCTGCCCGGGTCTGGGGGTCCGTGGTGTCCTCAACCACCGTCTGCACGGGGAGGTCCTTGATGGCGCTCTCCCGCAGGCCCCTACTGCTATAGAGCGACCATATCATGTAGAATGTGAAAGAGAAGCCAGCTATGGGGAGTATCGTTCGCCAGTGGCCCCTCGAACTGTGTAATTGTCGGTGGCGTGGAGGTGGAGCCATGGCAATGCGCCGGATCTCAGAGTTGTCCGCGGGTTTCCCAAAGTAAATAAATATGTATCATGCTGCCACCCTGCAATCGACACTCATGATCTGCGCTCTGCAGGGACTCAGGGACGAGCGGATGTCAGGACAGCTACCGCATTCTCGCGCATCCGGAGGATGGAGGTGTTACTCCATGTCTGTCACCGTGTTAGCATTTGGAAAAGACTTTCCAGACTGAGATACTGAGCATGTTGAACGAATCTGATTTTTAATTACGTTCTCCTCCTTGAGGGCAGCGGCCACCTTCAGGAGCGCTTCAGGGCACGGACGGCATCTGCCACCTCTTGTTCGTTGACATCATCAAGCTCCGACGCCTGGAACTCGACTGGAATCAAGCGGGAGAGGGGGCCACGAGGGGGGAAGTTAGAAAGTTCCTGAGGGTCCTTGGGACAAGACATCATCACAGTGATAACCTCGTCACACTCAACGCCCACCATTGTTCGCCCGTCACCCTGGCTCTCGTGTGGCTACAAAGACGGTGGGTTGTACGTATCAACTATGCAACTACCTCCCACCGGCACCATGATGACGTCATGTACCTGATATGCCATCCAGCAGGCCCTTGAAAAAGTCCTTGGTCGAGGCGTACATCATCTTGGCTTTGACCTTGGCGACATCCGGGGCCCTGTGGGTTGAATGCAGGGAGCAAGCGTCTCCATGAGATCGTGAGACAGTATGCATTCCAGGGCCCAAGGTCGCAGCACTGCTGAGTACGCAAGAAGCAGCATACAGCCCCATGCGCGCACCAGTTGAGGAAGACGAGCTTGGTCAAGACCTGCCCGTCCGGCATCACCTCCTGAAAGTCGAAGACTGCATGGGGACAGGGAGTGGACACAAGCCCATGAAGGCTGCCACAGCAAACAGGAATGACTGCACGGTGCATGCGAGCTCTCATGCCCTCGCACTCTCATCTGCAGCCTCTGCAGCACGGATCATGAGTGAATTACCCCACAGTGCCGCCCACCTCCATATCGGCAGTCGCTGTCTGGGAGGGCGGCCAGGAACTCGGCGTAGGTGGAGTCTTTGGGACCGACCGCGGAGATCACCACAGTGGTACCCTCATCGTCCACGCGCCACAGGGCCCAGCGGTACTACAAGGGGTGATGGCAGTGTGGAGGGTGAAGTCGCAGCCCCTCTGGCAGAGGCCAACATTTGGGGCGGGGGGGTGGGAGCTTCGAACGGCACACATCTGCATGGACACTGAATCGATGAACCATCATCGACGCAGCCCCCGGCGCCCTCCTACCGCAGACTTGGAGCGGATATGATAGTAAAGGTTGACGGCATCGTCGCTCACTGCGATCCCGCTCATGGACGTCTGCGTAGGAGGGGAGGGGCAAGTGACATCAGGTGTGCAGCTGAAGGATTTGCTCAACGGCATTGGGAGCATCACAAGAACACTCTGAGACAATCTCGTCGTCATCCTTTGCAAGGTGTCCACAGGGCATGATTGTTTGAATCACTTTCATGGACGGGGCCAGCCACGGCCACCCAAGAGACTCACCCCTCCGTTGGGCTTGGATCGAGTGCCCCCGATCTTCGGCAGCTGCAGGGGGATGTCATGCTGCACCGCACGTGATCCCGGTGTTGGGGGGGCGGTCGTGCTCATGGGCGGCACAGGGCTCTGGGGCCGCGAGGCGGGCCTGGGTGCGGGGGACGGCGCGGGCCGAGCAGCCAGGGTGGGAGGGGCGGGGGCCGGCACTTGGACATGGGGAGGGGCCCAAGCAGGAGCCGTTGCAGGGGGAGCAGCAGTGGGGCTGGAAGACGTAGCACCGCCCCCACCAGTGATGAGCTCCAGGAACTGGGACTTGGTGGCTTCGTAGTCCTCTTCTCGGAGGACGCCCACGTCCACAGCAGCCTTGAGCTGCTGGGCTCGCAGGAAGGAGGTCTTCACCATGTCGAAGTCGGCCTGAGTTACCAGGCCCAGATCGAGGGCAGCCTTGGTGCTCAGCAGGGTCTGCAAGGCAGGATCAGCCATGGTCTGCACCGGATGAACGCCACGGCGAGAAACCCGAGCTGCGGAGGTGCGCACGGTGATGATGTGCAGCAATTACGAGCGGCACATTGAGACTGCCGATTTTGGTGCACACATATTTCTGGCCTCGAGGAGCAAGGGATCGGGCATGCCGCTCGCTTTCCCGTGGGGTCTGGGGAGGGCACATGGACAGGTGGAGGGGAGGTTTGGGGGTTGTTCCGCGCGCGCGCGATCTTGAATATTTAAGAGAAGCAGGGCTGGCGCGAGCTGGACGGCATGTGCGTCGCCACCGAGTGCGATGCTCTGATGATTGGAAAATCACACTGGCACGGAGAACCTTCATACTGCGAGGGGTGAAGGATCTGAGTCCCCTGCCGTGACAAGGCATCGGGAGTGCTCTCGGCATGGAGGTCGACCTGGATCTCCTCACCTCCATAGCCTCCGGTGGCATCGGGACCTGGGAGAAGAGCAGCTCCGCACCTGCCTTCTACCGCAAGCATGAAGATTGCAGGGGTGAGAGGGGGTGTGATTCTGTTTCGGTGGAGGGCTGGACAGCCTGGTGGCTCGTAATGGGCGGGGTGGGCAAGGTGCAGATACCATCCCTGCAGCAGCCCCCATACCTCACGGATGCCACTGCTCCCCACCGCCCTCCCAGAGTGCTTGCGCGACCTGCAGCGCATGCTGCGTGACGACGACCCGGAGGAACGGCCCGCTTTCTTCGCGGCTAGCAAGTTCAACTTTGCCAGAACGGACCTGGTGCCCCTGATCACCACCCACCCCGACGATGAGGCCCTCCTCATCCAAGCATGTGCGCCCGGGGTCTGCGGGCTGACGGCTTCTTCCCAAACCTCCCTGCAGCATCCCGATCACAGGGCAGGTGTTGCAAGGGTGCACATGTTCGCCTGCCCCTGCCACTCAGACTGCATTATTGCGACTCGCCGTGTCAAGCCCGCCCCTCCTACCCTCGAATCATGCAGTGAAGGTGTGCACCCTGCTGTGCATGCCCCCCTCCCGCGACTACGTCGTCCAGAATGCGGCGGCGACCGCAGCCGCCGCTGCCGCCGTGCGCGACGCTTTCCTGGTGCCCGATGCCCTGGGCATCGTGGTGGGGCTGCTGGAGGGGCCCCTGGCCCAGGGCACCCGGGTCAGGGACGCGGACGTCGCCCTCATCCAGCTCGTGCTGACGTTCATCAGGTGGAAAGCGGCGCTGGGGACGGTTGTGCATGGTGCATTCTCTCTCCCACAGTGGAAATTCTCATCAAATACAGTGATGAATGGTGACACGGCTGCAAAGTCAAGCACCCTGGACAGGAGCCGGTGCTGCCAGCTGCCGCTTTTCGTGGCTCCAACCCGCGAACCAATCCCTTGCAGGAACCTGTGCGTCATCCCAGACCTGAGGGACGGCCCCAGCGAGGCCCGGGACGCCAGTATAAGGGCCCGGCATGCTTTCGTGCAGCGCTGCTTCGAGGAGGGGGTGACCGACGTGCTGACCCTGGCCACCTGCGCCGCGGGGGAGGTGCGTGTCTGTTGACTGGCGCCCGCCAGGGTGGCCATTGTTGTTCTGGGGGGGTTGCTTGCAGACTTGACCTGCGTTTTTGTCTGTTACCTGCACGTCATGCTTTGGGGATGAGTCCCCCATCACAACCGACGAGCCCTCGCATCCTCCATACACACCAACCTGCTTGAAGGTGCCACCACCTCACCCAACACACTCAAACCCCTTGCTCCTCTTCCTTCCCTCCACAGCACCCCTTCAAGGCAGAGGCCCCTCTGCTGGTGGAGATCATGCAGGGCCTGCTGTCCCTGGCAGAGCCGTCCGCCCTGCTGCTGGCCCCAACCGAGCCGCCTCGCACAGTCCCGGCCTCGACAAGCGGCCGCTCAGCGGTCTCCAGCGCCGGCCGCCGCCCCACACTGGCGGCGGCCACCGCACACCTGCCCCGCCTGGACACGGCCACCGCGCTGGGGCGCAGCGTGGCCCAGCGTGCTCCCGCCCGGCACGCGCACTCCAACGCCGTCTTCGTGCGCCGCCATGCGGACCATACTCGGGACGTGGTCCTGCGCCACAACCACCGGCGGTCAGAGCTGCCGGTGCTGCCGGCCATCCAGAACGCCAAGCAGGCGCAGGCGCAGGCGCGGGCGGGAGGGGGGGGGGAGGCGGCGGCGCACATGGATCACAGGGCTAGATTTGGTGCAGAGTCTGCCTGCGATCCGGAGCAGCTGAGGGACTCGCAGGCTCGGGACATCAGGAACCCTGTGGCCCCAAACAGCCGTTCCCCCCGCGCCTTGCACCGGCCCATGAACGCCATTCCCCCCTCTTGCACTCGCACCGCAGAGGAGGGAGGGGCCCTCTGGCTGGGTGAAGCCAGGGACCACGAGCACCAGCTCGGGGACTGTCCTCGTGCCGAGACTCGCGGCCTTCCTCGAGGAGTTCCTGGCGGAGGGGTACAATGAGGTCATGAGCACGGTGAGCCATTGTGTGGAAGGATCGAGAAAGGATGCTGGGAGGAGTGTGCTTGGAAGCCTGGGTCAGCTTTCCCACCTGGTCACGACACATGCTCACCTCTGGCCCCCTCCCATCCCCACAACCCCCCGCCAGATGTTTGCCGGGCTGCGTGCGGGTCTTCTGGTGTCCACACTGACGCAGGAGGACTTCCAGAACTTCGTGCGGCTGGCGGCCTACTGCACGCAGTATGTCCGCCTGAAGGAGGTGCGCGCCGGAGGCCGAGTCCTGCGCTGTGCAGGAATGTCCACTGTCCATCTCTGGGTCATCACGACGAAAGGCGCCGAGCCCAGCACCGGTCCCCCGCCGCAGGAGTCGCGGCTCGCCTCCAAGGGCGCCGACACACCCGAAGCCACAAAGGGCGATGGAGAGGAGCGACCCACATCGCCTTTTGCCGGCATCGCAGCCACGATGGGCTTTGAGAATTTCCACTGGGTACGCAAGCCCTTGTATTCATATCTGAACAGAGTGGGAATGGCTGTGTCGACGGGCCCAACAGGCATGCTGTGCACGAGTACTGGGCAGGATTCCCAGGCTGCCCACAGTCGGGGTATCCATGTGCCAGGCTGGAAGAGGGGGCAAACAGTGTCGTCACCGCATCTAGAAGGTTTGAGCACGCGGCCCACCCCTCAGCACAACTCAAAAGCTCCTCACAGGTCCACATGCTGTGGGTGTCCCTGACCGACGTCCCAGCCAACCACGGCAAGCAGACCAACCATGCAGACAAGCACTGGGACCTGCAGGTGGGGTATCGGAGGCGTTAGGGTTGGGCTGTGCAGCTGCAGCCGTTGCACTCAGTGGCCGCCAGGACTGGGGGTGGAGGGTTCTACCTTCACCTCATCCTCCAAGACCAAGGCCCTGGGATGCAGCTCACACCCCCCCCCCGCCCGCCAACCCCCCCCCGCCCCCCCCCCCCCCC